CTGCACTGTGCTTCAGCCGTTTTGCAGATACGAGTAGGTAACCGCAGGTTGGGATTTGAGGTCTTCGTTGACAAGAAAGTGCGTTCATGACCCCACTCACTGTCACCATTCGCTAGCATCGGTCCACGTCAAATAATGCTTGCCGACTATTACAACCGCCACCTACAGCTGTGCATTATCCGTGTTACCGAAAGCACTTAAAACCAAAAGTTTCAACCTAACTCAACCGCCTTGACATTACAATCCCTCAGGTCATCATTCCAACTCATTTGACGAGTGATGATGGTGCGAAAAGATGAAAGTCAATGGGACGGCAACTACTTCATCGTCAATTTAGGAAAGGCGTTGACTACAGAAGGTCACAAAACCCTCTCCAAATCAAGCTAAATCCCACCAACGAACAGTGGGCGGGCGACTGTAATGAGGCAGGAAACAGAAGCGCTGTTAAGTCGCGGAACTAGGCTAGGACAGGCTAGGCAAGCACTCTAAGAGGCGGGAGTGGGATTAATGATCAAACACGAGTGGCGGTTGGGTTTGGCCTTCAATGCGGTAAATTCGCTCCACGAGAGTGCCACAAAAAAGCACACACATACACACACCACGGCAGTGTCCACTTCCGTTCATTCAATGCACTTTATCACAATAAAACTGATCCATTTAGAGCTCAAGTTTGTTTTATTTTACAAAGAAAGCAGATGAGAGGACGAGCAACGGGCGTTCGGAGCAGTGGAGGCGAGCCATGCTCTCAAATGAATATTGTAGCAATGAATCTGGTGCGTCTATGCAGTGATATCATCTTCGAAAAGACTGGTTTATTATCAGTACAAGTTTGTCCCTACGACCGCTGTAAAGGCGGCCGTGGCGCCTGCAGAGCGCGCAACCTGAGCACTAACAGCATTGCCACAACCACTAGGCATCAAAATAGTAATAAAAAATATATTATTTACATACTCTTTCCCTCGGTACCTTAAAGCCGTGGCAAAATCAGCCTGTTTGCCGACCCATGCATTCTTCCTCCCTCCTAGCCGCTACGATAATAAACAGTTATCGTGGGAAAACACAGAAATAGATGACTCCATAGCCTAACTGGAGATGAGATAATGAACAAAAATAACCTATTCTTTAAGAAAAAAGGAAAGCTAAAAACATTCACAAAGACATGGAAAACAAGTGCTTCAGTGAAAGCAAAACGAACTCTCATTTTCGATGGAGTTGCGGTGGGCGCTCAAGGTGGTTGTTTGCAGAAGCGAAGCGAGTTGAACATTGATATCGTTGAACAGGTCATCTGTAAATAAACAATTGAACAGCACGGATGACCTCAATGAGCAATACAGTGTGGACTTTCTAAAATCAAATGCATTTTAGGCGTTACTTTTGCCCTTTCACGCGGGTGGGCTGGAGGTCCGCTCGTGCTACCCATTTTGCCAGTTTATCAATTCTCACTTACATTGGTGGTAACAAAACTACTCACCAAACTTTATGTCTTGTAACATTTTCGTGGGTGATTCTGACGATGGAGTGTACAACTCTAGTAAAGGTAAGCATCACTCTGTTCATTTATCAACGAAATAAATCGGTCTTCTTTTGCCCCAAAGTCTAAACCCACCTCGCCCTTGCCATCAGATCTAACTAGTATGTACCATTCAGGTAAGTAGGAATGAGTAGGAAAAGGGAAAAATATTTTCTCATTTTCGTATTCACGTGAGATGAAGGACGCCCCTTACTTATTCCTTATCGATACAACTTAGGATTGAAGAGCGCAGTGGGAAATGCCTTGGTCTGAGGATAATTATGCTTGTTGATTCTTGGCCAAAAAACCTAGCGACCAATGATGCCCCATGGGAACAATAGGACATTTATGCTGTGCTGAGAGGGCTCGATCGAGTCAAACAATAGCCCTTAATTCATCTGAATAATAACAAGCACACGGAAGCGACTTCAGAGTGATGTAAAATGAGAATTGAAACAGTTGCAGAATTAATAGACCGCTTTAATTCCATAGAGGGAAATGAATTGTCACCTAAGCCAAAAACGGTCCGAGCTATGAATTTGTCCAGATTCAGACCAAGCTATGGATGAAAAACACTTTACCATTAACGCCTAAGATTAAAGGACGGTAGTGAGTTTATCTTCACTAGTACGGGGATTAAAGATCTGAGACGTAGGGGGGAAGGGGGGAGGGAAAGAAAGCTAAACTCACCACTTGTGCCAAATTCAGTAAGGTCAGCAGCCTCGTTAGAAAAAGGCCGCTTTGACTTTCTCGTGACTTCGCCAATTTCATCGCTTTTACCGCTGACCAATTCGGCTATGAAAGAGGAATGAAAAAGCATAAATTCAAGTGGTTCAGATAAACGGATATGGCGATACTGGACATGATCAAATGGAGCTGCTGGGAAAGAACAAAATAAGCGCGATTTGCTGACAGTGGAACTAACTGACTAGCTGGTAAATCAAATGAAACTTCTAAAAAAACACTTATTTTGAGTAAAAAATATGCAATCCAGCATGAGCCATATTCGGGCACGAAATCAACACAAGTCGAAAAAGGGTATCCATCCAATCCAACTACTAGAATCGACAATAAACTACTTTGAAACCGCCAATCCGATGGAAGAGAACTAGGAGCCGCCAAAACTTACATAATAGTGTTAATAGGACCAGAATGGTGTTATTAAAACTAAAAAACATCCTCAAATTAAACAAAACCTCCCCTCCTAATCTGTTACGATGAAGTAACTCATTGAATAGACTCTTATTGTCCCTTTGCTCCCAAACTCACAAGCTGCACGCAATGGTGGAGCAAAAGACTCCGAGAGAGACATCTATGTCAACAAACACAGAACGAATGGTGGTGGAGAGGCGATGTAAGGAACACGATGTAAAAACTTCCAGCACCCACTTTTATTTAACACTCATGTAATTTAAATATGCGAAAAAAAAACAAAGAGATACGATTGGTGTAACAATTTCCTACTTCCAGAGCATAAAAAGTCACCCTTCAATCCAGCTTATTATTCCCTCCAGTTAATGAAATAGCTAATCCATTGGCACAATGAGGCTCATTGTTTTATGTAAAGTTTAAATAGCTTATTGAAAGAAAAAGAATTGTTTGATCATTTTATAATCAGCAGAAGACCGACTGAAAAGGGTAAAATGGGTCATGACGTCAAGGGAAACGGAGGTGGAGGATGGTGTGCCAGGCGCTGCCAAAAACTTTGGATAACTGTACATGTCGAACAGATGAGTTGCCTCAAAAATACAAACGTTGGCAACAAAGGAAGTAAAATAAAACTTTTAGCTTAGCGTTTCATTTTATCTTATATTCATTTCTACCAGTAACTAATGACGTAATTTTAGCAAGTCCTAACTTTGGAACCAAGTAAGCTAACATAGTGCTGGTGAGCAAACTTCGCACGTAAATTTGTAGGTTTTTTTGCATCTGCATCCAGTCAAAGGCTAAATTTCAATTAGGGAACGTTCAGATCAGTGCTGACATATTTTAAGCAGAACCTTATAATTTACTACCTACGCTGAATGAGTAAACATTCCTTATTCAATTCATCAGTGAAAGAACCAATACAACGAAAAGCAATACGTGTTAAAACTAAAGAATTTTCTTTGGAAACATTAAAAAGGCAAATGTAAAGCTTAAAGTATCATGGCTGCGATGTTTCATTAGTGACTTACGGCTCTTGGCAGGTGCAGAATAGCAAGAGGCTTGACTCTTGGAGAGCAAAGAAGAGTTGTTTAAAGGAACATCCTGTGACAATAGCCTGGTTTTAGAATCCACTGAGCTATCTACGTAGAGTCCGGAAAGTCTACCAAAACTCCGACTAATGGAAAACGACCTTTAACGAAACGCGAGAAAAGTGACTTACCCAAAGAGAACGATTGAATCTTATGAGTAATAAACTTACAGTGGGAGATATTAGTAGCAAACATAATAGTAAGTAGTAATTAGCTAAACTTTAAAAATCACTTCGCTTAATGGTAGATAATGTATGGTAATGATAAACTATAAAATAACTTACAATAAATCACTCTCCTCTGCTATCAAATCACTGAGAGTAGTAAGAATGCTATCCAATCGTGACAAGAGGGCCTGAGTATCATTTGTAAGTCCTCGTTGTATGGAAAATTTACTCGATTCAGCAATTCTACTTAGGGATCGCGAACACCAAGACAGCTCTGATGATGGCCCTGTCTCCAAAGACTGCCTAACCTCACTGGATCGGGTCAGTGAATTTCCTATTGCACTGAATAAATCGCCAGTTCTTTCCATTAGCCTAGACGAGTGATATGTGACATCGGATAGCGTCTCAGAGAAAAAAGCCAATAAAGGAAATATTCACATACCGAGAAAGAGAAGATAACTTGTCGATATCTGACGTCTAAAAATAACAGGTGCAGAAATGTTCAATGAGTAAGAAATTATTTATATAAAATAAATAATGTGTACCATGTCCGTAGAACCATTTACGTCTTTTGCTCGAATTAATGGAGAGGCACTAGATAATATAGACATATCCAGATAAAGGGGCCTCATAGCAAGCCATTCAGAATAGTGAAGTGAAAACGCGTTTTTCAGACCCTGAAGTTCAGCCCAACGATTTCTTTGAAAGAAGGAAAGCCTATGTAGAACATCACCACCGGATCTAGGAAAACACACCTGCGAAAAATAGAAGGGCCTTACTTTGGTAAATTAGCATGATTCAGGCAATCAAAAAGGATATTTGAATCTTCAATAACAGAACACGATTCTTTAGCAGTGATCAACCTAAAAATCGATGCCTTCTGACGCGATAAAAACTACTTGTCAATTGAGATAGATTTGAACTGCAAAAAGGAAATGTTGCGCAGAAATTCGTTCACTTTGTCATCAACCACATCATTTACATCCAAGTTTACACAAAAATCTGAAAATACAATAAAATAAACGGGACAACCAATTCTCATGCATTTCTCCAGCACATACATAGACAAAACAGCAAAGAATCTGGCGGACTTTTTTGGGGATGGACAACTCCAGACCCGGGAAAAATCCATAGAAAGCCCCAAATCCTGTAAAATCAATAAAAAAAACATGGGACAACCATTGGCAATTCCTTGATCCACAGAAAGAATAGGTTCTTAAGTTGGTTATCAACTGCCCTATTATAGCATATTAGAAGTGGTCTAGAAGTCAATAATAGCTTTAAACGTTACCTGATTGATCTCTCAAATCGTTTGTTATCAAGTCTGCTTAACAAGAAACCAAACAATTTACCAAGTGCTGGTTTAGGAAATGACCCCAAAGTAGCCCTAAACTAAACCAGAATCTTAACATTGTACTCTATTTGATTCGGGTCTGTTGGCAGCTTGAGGTTATCAAAATTTGCCCCCAAAATCTTCAAATTATTTACGAGAAGGACCTCAAAATTGCTTTTATCCATTAACTTCTCATCCACGCCCTCATGAATCAACCTCTAACTTCACACACAAGTTATCTAAAGTCAGAAATCAGCCTCATGGTAGACCTTGGTGATTTGATCAATACAAAGTTGTGATTTAGCTTTTGATATAAAACATATACGACAAGTTGCTAACATAACAAACAACTAGCACCACATTTTTAAAGTTTTTTGATGCTAGGAGCGACCCTCAGTTTAGCTTTTATAGTACATATCTATCCGTTTGCTGCAGCCCTTGTAACATGCATGAATTTCGGGAATGAGCCAAACAGAGTGACCCAACCACACTACTCAATACCCTGGTTTTTAAATTCTTAAGTTATTTATTCACATCTTATTCTGCTTTCTGGGGTTCATGAACCCCACTGCGAAATGCAGCTGGTGCATCGGTGCCGCTGGGATCTACCCTGACTGCCACCGATGAATACTCGGAAATTCTGCAGACTAGTTTGAATCCCGACTACCATTTCATTAAATACAAACCAAGCAAAAGCGAACAAATCAAAATCAAAACAGGATAAATCAGAGTAAGAAGCGGTTTTTGAATAAACGCAGAGCAAGTTCCGAGGTTAGTAAGCACAACAGCTGCAATGAATCGTACATAGAGAGTTTTTGCAACATAGGCTTTGAGGGATGTAAAAAAGGGACAAAAATGTTTAGGACAGCTCCAGGCCAAAAAAAGCACGGCCCTCGCTCGACCAGATAACTCCAAGCCTTACACCCCTTACTGACTTGCATTTAGATACACAGCTACACAGCTAGTTCGTCATTCTCAATCGTTATAATTAACAGTGCGACCAAACTCAGCTAAACTTCGTTCCAAAAGACCGCACAACCTTCTTACTTGCCTCTCTTCCCGGATTGCATCATGGATATAAGACGAAGGAGATGTTACACCTTTTCGCTCATGTTTGTAAAATCAAGAGGAGCGAGTAGCATTCCCATGATGGCCGTCATCAGGACCGACAGCAACGAGGCCCTAGCTCTCAGCGGGAGACGCAAATAGCGGTAGATGGTTTGAAGCCAAGCGCAAGACGCGATCGAGGAGGACACGCCGATGGTGTGAGTGGCGACAGTAGCACCACACCAGCGTTGCCGCCACCGCCATGCCCAGCGCCTGTAGCACCAGTAGCCACACCACCCAAGTTGGTACTGGGGCAACATTATCAGTGTTTACCTATACTACATTAAACGTCCTCTCATCAAACTTATCTTCAGAGCAGGAACACTAATTCTATTGCGGAAAAGTATTAATGATATTGTGCTAAATCCAACAGACAATCCCGACTTACACCGCACTAAAACAGGTTACAAAATGTCTACACTGCATTTTTCCCTTGAAATAGTCCTCCGCTACGCTCACGTGCCTGTACAAACATTTAATCAACAATCAAAGAGCGTTTACTTATGGAGTTGTGTCATCCTAACTGAATTGTCCCAAGACATTTTCTCTCTTCTCTACCATTGGTGCATTAACTTCTCAAAGTTCCATATAATGCTCGTATTCGTGAATAAGTGTGTCCGCCATTTCCACAAAAATACTAGTCTCTCGTGCAGTTTCATGACAGACGTCCAGGACCAGACGCTTTTACAGGAAGGCGTGTGGCACAGCGAGCTGGCAGCAGAACCACTATAAGTGGCATCATCACTGATAGGCGCCCGATCGTCTCTGAAACTGTGGCCAAGCAGAGAAGCTTTCAATTACTGTGCCATGTGCCTCATTTGACAAAAAAATTTCGTTCATCACCACCCGCTACGTGTTTCACGCATTCATCAACTAACATAGTTGTCTACCAGCCTGATTAATTGTTTGGCCCGGACTGGTCCGCAGTACGAGTCACTACCATTAATGTGTAATAGGTCGCACTTACTACTACGTGGAGTACTCTCTACGGAAGTATTTCTTTCCATTATAAGGGTAAAAAAATGGGAAGTCCAGTTTGGACTTGAACAATTGTATTACACTGCGTTGTACAAACGCTTGCCTTGCGTAAGCGTTTTTAGTGATTAATCCCCTCTGAGGTGCAGTGCAATTTCTCCTCGATTAATAACAATGGCTCTGGGCCGGGAGGAATTCGCGAGGCTGAAACCAATTAATTCCACTAGAAAAATAGCAGACTATTTACCTGCCGACTAGAACCGATTAAGCTAACCCATCAACGTGAGATGGTGGATTGCGTTCAAAGCAGGGTAAAGGAAGGGGAACACCGGCTTATTAAGGAAGGATATATCCATTGGAGAAAATCAGTGATGCTTAAATAAAACCCATTACGTGTCAGAATTTAGCTTTCTTTACAGTAATTATTTTGCTTAAGTGGATTTAATCCTTTGCAATTTAACTGATGTATTTTAACTGTAAATTTCTTCCCATCGCTTAGGCAATCGTATTTGCTGCAAAGACCTGCATTTTGCACTGTTTTAACTTAGCCTAAGTGAATACTTTAACAGCACCCCTTGACCACAATTGTATTTTAGCAGATGTAAGAAAATTTTTGTTTGAAGGAAGCTAGTAGTTTGTAAAAATTATTTAAAAAAACGCGCAAATACAAATGAGATCGTTACTTTGGTCAAGGACAGCTAAATGATTGCCGGGACTCCTCATGCATTCGTTGCCTCAAGTAGCGGAAAAGTGCTCCACAAGACGAATTGGAGTTTAGGGACTATGCACAATTCATGTAGAAAAAATGCTGACTATCTCTTGATCCATGGGAAAATATACTTCCTTAACAAGGAACTTCACCTGCTTAATATATCTGCTCATGTCACATATATGTGACACGTGCCCTTTATCGCGCAACTTGTATGTTGCAGAGTGGGATTTCCTGTGCATGAGGTTAATTTTACTTTTTTCTTGATTTTTTGGAAAATATGACGATCGTGTTAAAAGAATGGCTAAATCTGAGGTGATCCAGTAGTTAGTGTGGCGAAATATCCCAGAATTAGGCGTTTGGCAAGTAGCGCATTATGGTGTCAAAAATAGGGTTTGATAAATGTAACAAGTACTCCGGTAGTCGTAAAATTAATGAATTAATGAGCAATATGAGAAATCAAATAATTATAGCTGTAGCTCTGAATTTGGTCTAACTCTGGAAGCAATGCAGAGTAATAATAACCCTGTCCAACAAGCTAACATGGGACTTATCTTCCCGTTTGTCAAGTTTGTCAAACGAACTCACACCATTCTTCCAAATAAATTGTTAAATGGTTCCATTGGCAGAAAAATTGGTGACTACATGGAAAGGGAACGTTCGCGGGGCTTCATCAATACGAGAAACTCTTACAGAAATGGATCATCCTACACTTAAAGTAAATAACACTAAGGGTTCCCAACAATTACGTAGGCTAAAGCAAGTAAATTTGAGCAAAAATAGGTTTTAATAAGTCCAATGAACACGAAAAGTTATTGTGGAAAAAGCATTAGTAACAAACAGCTATCCAAACTCCCAGTTACTACAACGTTACTCAGATCGAAGCCTACAGGCTCATAAAAAAATCCAACTATGCGAGACAAACACCCAAAGCGTAGCCGTTAGTTGGAGAAGCAACCTTGTTCAGCAAAAGGCATTAATTTTAAGCGAGATCATCAGGGCTACCGAGAAGCACAATGCAGCCGGAGTAGCGGGAATGCCAAGCCGACTGTTTTAGAACAGACCGTCACTGCCTACTAAGCATTTTACGATCGAAAGGACCTGAATTTAGGCTCTCAGTACAATAAACTAACTTACTTTAGAATGATTTCTGCATTCAAGCAAAGGAGAGGTACCAGACCGATAGGAGTATGAGATGGTGGGAGAAGAGTTAACAACTGCCTGAACACGAAAACGCCTACATTCAAAATGTGGCTAGTTGACAGATGAACTGCTTTGTTGCTCAATGTGGAATTGAAACTTGATTCTATTTCTAAGTTCGGGAATCGCTATCCTGGATTTTCACCTTGATTGTCCATGCAATGGTTTGTGAATACTGACGCTTTTCGTTCGAAATCAGGTTCAAGTCAAAAAACCATGCCATTTTCCCTTGTCACGAAGCCCCTATGGTGTAGACAGTTAGAAATAGTGGGTAGGAAATTTGCTGTATGGCGTGAATAAATGAAGACCAAGGCGTATGGTGATTGGCCGGATGCTGCGTCTCAAATCAGGCCTGAGTTAACAGGGAGACATCCACATTGTTCAGTTTTAATTAAGAATCATACTGAAGCATCACTTCTGCTGGTGAAGAAAAGCATAAAATTTTTTATTAATTTTATTTGCAATTCGACCACAACGCTGGTGGACTGCGACTCTTTTCGTGGCACCAGGTCGACAAGCCGCTCAGCCTTTCATTACATTCCTAATTAATGTTCTTCCATGCTGGTAAAGTCAAGAGGTAGACCAGGTACGATACAATTTCTTGCAAGCTCTGAGAAAGAGCTTGCGCGATGTGATAGTCTGAAGACCTGTTCATCACCGACGAACAGGAAAGATACCGTTAGCGTAATTTTATAAATAACAATGAAGTATTTCCTTCACAATTCCCTTCTTCCGCATTTGTTCTGTTTTACCCGAATAACCACATAAGGAGCTCCGTTGAATTTCTTGCTTCCTGTAGGCCTCAAATTGCTAACTAAGCCACGGCGAGCACAGCTGTCACTTAAAGAACCATACACTGCCAAAATCAAAAAGAGAGCTGTTAAAAGTTTGATCCCATAAAACACGACGTTAGAAACATGGAACACCCCTACGAGCTGTGAGAAAGGATAGCCATGTTCCCATAACCTCCCTGCTACTTCACTACTGGTCTGTTAAATAACTGCCACTAAAATAACGTACAGTATACACAAAGCTTCTGAAATGGAATATGTCATGCTTGATAAATGAAATAAAACTCACACTCAGGTGCATCACGATCCTGTGGCCACCAAACGCCCGACACGCTGATTTCATTTTTTGCGTAGCACCAGAAGGGCGTGGACCTATCAACCGAGGCAGAGGCATTTTGTGGGACAAGGAGGCTGGAACAACCACTACCTTCGCGCCGCTCATCCTCTACCAAGTGAAGCAATCGGTCAAGCGCCACCACGGCTCGCGGCGAGTGCTGGACTAATGTGGAGCGGATGACAGCAATCGCATTTTCCGCGTTGCTCCAGTTTTAAACGTGATGCGACGGCACCACCTGTGGATAGGCCAACACCTTGCAGGCGTGGTGCCACTGTTCCGTGAGGTTGGCTACCGCTGACCCCTGCAAACAGCGTGGATTTGCCAACCCCGACTTAAGCAATGGCGGTGGAGGCGGAATCAGTAGTAGGATGAGAATGGGTGCCACTGAATTGTACATAAGTAGAAGATTCACAGCAAGCAAGGAAGGAGTACGGAAGAGCGATTGTATGCAGAATGCTGGATTCAAAGATATTTAACGACCTCTATAAAACAAACAACAACCAACAAATGAATTGGCAGACAAACAAAAGTAAAATTACTGTAATAATCCATTTTACGCACAAACATATTTCTAAAGTAGTAGACTTAGACAAATAAGAAAGCCACATTCATATTTGAGTGCAATTTATCTCGAAAGAATAGAGTAGAGTCTGATAGTTCATTGGTAAAAATTGTCATTACTGTTGCTGATAATGGCAATGAACCATTACCATTCGGGTATACATTCCATTCCACACGTCCAGTACCCAAGTAGTCGAGTACGCAAGTGTATCTTCCATAGGATTCTTTCTTGAGACCTAAGTGCAAAACGACAAACTTAGATAAAAAGTATACTCTGGGAGCGGAGAGCCAATCTTGTCCCGACAGTGTGGAGCTTTTCGTCACGCCAGGATTCTAGGTGTCACTGGTTGAGATTATCTACGTTTTGAGCATTTGGAGTCCTCCAGAAGGTAGAAACCACGCCAAGATGAACAAAGATATCAAATTAGCACTCGCAAATCATGAACCCTTCCTCAACGTTCGGTCGAACAGATGGGATTCGGTGGGGAAATATTGTCGAAAAGGGGTCTTTTGCTGTGACAACGGAAGGAGCTGTGCCGTTTCGCACTCCAATTCCTGTAAAATATCAAATATTTACTTCAGGTATATGACTGAACAGAAAAATTCGATTCTAACGTCATCTACAAAACAACAAAAACATAAATTTGCAATGTGCTCGTACAGTTCGGAATAAGAAAGATGGCATACGCAATATCGGGCAAAACGGCCATAATTTGGAGCCATTCTTAGAAAATCCTATAAAAAGCAACAGTAAAATATCGCCTAGTCACGTAAAGAGACAAAACATTCAACGTATTACCAATCAAAGATCAATTCTCAGTCGGATCTAACCAAAATTGCTCAGGCATCAAGCAGTGGAGAGGTAAATTACCAATGGCAGAGGTGATTTCACAAGCAAAAAATAAAAAAAGACAGCTGACAGCTCACCGGAGGCAACATTAAGGGTCATTAGTGCCGCTTGGCCACGAAAATAGCAAAATATTACATCAGAGTCACCGGATTCCACTATTAAAGAGTAATAAAGGCTGCTATTACTTCGACTAGCAAGAACCAATAACCCAATCTTTTTTAATATACGCCTTCCTTCTTAGTTCAAGTAAGCCATGCCCACGAATGGTGCTCCGACGGATTTGGCATCGTATTTCCACAAGATCACCTTCCCTCAAAAAGGACGACTGAGTTCGCTTCCACAAGTTATTTGTTTTTGTGAAAAGCTTCAGTTGCTGGCCTTGTAACTTATTATATTTAATAACTATCATTTCACCCGTAAAGGCAAAGTACGGCAGCAAAAGAAACAAAAAGACAGTAGTCAAATTCATCCCATTAATGCTGTCGACCCGCACTAATTCAAACAACAGATTTTTTCAGAAATCTTATAATTTATAAAAAAAATGCAAGTCATAACAAAAATATGCTGTGAAGTATGTGCGTTGTAATTTGCTAATTCAATAACAGGGAACTAAGAAAGCTACGTGACAGATGACGAAATTTTAATAAAAAAACAAAGACTTTCTTAGCAACACCCAAAATAGGTTTTGGCAACATTTCATTGCTTCACTATGATAAAACAGAACTAATCCGATTGACTGAACAGAAAGAACCTTTCGGAACAAATAGTGCTGTACTTTGGCGGGGCTTGACGCATACATTACTAAAAAACCTAGCTTCCTCATATTTTAAATCTAGCCCCTTTTTTCCCTCTGGCAACTGTTTTAAATCACCCTGATAAGTTTACTTTGTCTTTTAACTTTGTCTTTTAATAGGGTTCATAGACAACGTCAGACAATGGTTTTCCAAACGTTTTATTTAATCACTATCGCTTCATATTGATTACCAACTGGGATCAAATGATTTGAAATTGGCATTTGTGCTGCTTATTCCGCGCTATTGTTTATTGCACGTATTTATTGGTTAGGCCAAATATTTTCATACTTTTACACCATGTGGACTCAAAATATCGCCACGAACACCGGCACTGTTCATTGTGGTGCTAATCAGCCTGCTCAAAACCACCGATCTCCAATTACCAGCGGTAAGTTATAATCATTATCAAGATTTGTCGTTCTAGAAGGTTTTGGTGCTAGTCACCCAGAAACTCGTCGTGCTGTGGTGACTAGACATGAGCAGCGTCAGCCATACGACCGTAGAAGGGATCGTGATTTGATTGAAGTGAGCTACTACTTTTCTTGCGGTTAAACAATGTGTGAAACATTTTTGAGTGTAGGTTTTGGTTTTTTTTAAAAAATTGGTTTGTGTACACTTGGCATTTTTGAATGAAGATTGCTCATTCAGCTTACCATTTTTTACTCTTCATTTTAAGTCGTTTATGGAATCTCCCACCGCTTTTGGATTTCGTCCAAAAATGGACTTGTATTTTTAATGTTACTAAGTTTTAGTCTCTTAAGAAATTTAACACGCCTACTTTTATTGGAAAATATCCTTATTTAGATTCGTTGCCTATCCTGCTTCTTTTTAATAGTGATAAACATTTTAGGTTGTTTGCAATGTTCAGTGTTCCCTCTGATATGACCTTTCGAACTGCCCATTTCTACTTAGTAAACCCGATTTTGAATAAATAGTTTATCAAAATTATGATTGCTACAGTTACGTGGGCGCTGCGCACAGTTGGAAAAGACGGTTCGTTGGTGGTCGGACTGTACGACGAATTGGCGTGAAAAGTGGTCCTGCGTTCGGGATGAGCGAAACCAACTGAGGGAAGAATTGCGTAGAACTAAGTTGGCTCTAACTGCTCTGCAGCGGCAAAACGAAGAACTTGTTCACCGCCTTGATCAGCTATCTGCTACCCGAAGTACTGGCAATGAGACTCTACTAATTTTATCCATTTCATATTAGCGGTAGCCTATCTGTTAATTTTTTCTAACATATTTTAAGATCAATCACCTGATGAAATTGTTAGGAAGAATCCAGGATCCTTTGAGTCGCAGCAGAAGGTACACTTTGGTGAATCCCTTTTGAAAAAACGGCCCACAAATTTTTTCCCATCGCTTTTTTAAAATACATAGGACCGTTATTTTGGGAGTATTTATAAAACAGAATTTTTAAGCAACAGTTATTAAGATAATTCGGTCGGGTTTTACTCAGCTTACCTTTATTTTTGGTTGAATTGCGGGTCCTTGCGTGATGTATTCGGAGATATTATGCAATTTCTGTCAAATTTCTTGGGAATTTCCCAGTTGTTCTTCCCTTTTTTTGGTCGTAAAAAAATTATTCTGTAAATTTCTTCTATTTAATCAAAACGCTTTAATTAACAGCAACTTCATAACATTTTTAAAGCAACAACACATACATATTGCATGTTAGAGATTTTCCAAAATTCTTAAAGTCCGCCTGTGTAATTGAGTTTCTGGTAGTCCAATTGTAATTCCTTCTTATTTTCGTCAGCCTAATGAGGAAGTTTTGCAGCGCAAGAACCGCGAGCTGAATGAGCAGCTGGCAAAGATGACGCGTTGTTTGGTATCGGCGAGTGAACACCCTCATCAAGATCGCCGCAATCACTCCTCGGGCGCTTCCTCGTGTTGTCAATCTTCCGCTTCGCGCAGCGCCTCTTCCTCCCCGTTCTCCGCCAGCTGTGCCTCCACCTCCGCCTCTGGCACCGCCTCTTCCCGCGCTAGCCACATATCACCGCTTTCCACCCAAGGTAGTGTAGCCACTTAGCCTTGTAAACGCTATCGCTGGGTGAATTTCAAAACAGAAAATAGGTTTTTTAAGCAGCACTTCATTTTCATTCCTCCTCTCAAACTTGTTGCCATATCAATAGTATTCGGTTGCATATCTTGGAATCTTGTAATTAAGGGGCATCTATTTTCCTTCCATCACTGAATGTTTGTTTAAGAAGCGATTTTGTGCAGAGTTTGAGTCATTCTTGCTTGTTTTGGCTCCACTCATTTTGTTTAAAAATTAGATATTGGAGTAGTTGCGAAAGTTCAACGCGGTTTCAATAGCTCTGCTGTTGTGTCTCTCCACATATTTAACCACCCAAATCAGGTGGCCAATTTCTACGACTCTTTATTTTATTTATCCAAGAAAGTAGAGCTTGCATCATTCCCTTAGAATATACATTCAACAGCCGCTAGCAATCGAGTGCCCAAAGTCATCAAAATAGGCGGCTTTTTATCGACCAACAGAAACTGGGAAGCTGGCAGAACTAGGCTGCATAAACAGTTTGCCATGCAACCAGTGTGGAGGCTAAATAGCCAAGATTGGCAACTATTGCAGCCGCAGTTTTCTTTCGAGGCAGACAATGCTCTTTTATCAAGCCGAAGCTTAATTTTTTTAAATGACGTCGATATCGACAATACAGCTTTGCTATCTGTTGTTTAATGAGCATTAATCTAGGTACCTGGACTTCTCAGCTAGGTTCGCGGATCAACAGGACAGTGTCTCTGTATTTGACTGATTGGGCATAGGTAACTAGAAAGAAACTTATTTGCTGGGTAACCTGTTCTCCTGTCTTTCCCTTTAAGCGATTAGCCAGGTCACTTGAACCCATTTTACTGTGTTGGGTCTGTCAAAAGGAAAAAGAGGTCTTTTTTGAGTGTGATTGGAACACTGATCCGTGATCGTCTTGCTGTTTCTTGCATCTAGGCATGGTACTAGTCTAAAATGTGACAAACGGTCTGTTGGACGAATGATCATATCTGAGGCGACTTTGTTCCATTTCTGTGAGGTAAAAGTTCTTCAATCTAAAGTTCCATTACCCTCGATATCTAGATCATTGAAATTGCTGTAGTTTCCATATTGGAGGGGTTGGGAGACCTGAATCACCTCTATTTGTGACTGGATAATCAATTCTGATCTATCGGCTGATTAATGAAATCAGAACTTTGATTATCGTCTGTCGAGTCATGCTTCATTTACTCCCATACTTTCACCCACTGCAAAGTCCATCGAAGAATGCCTTGAATAGAAATTATTATCATTTGCATTGCAATCATTACTAGAGTAACAGTGCTTTGGAAGAAACTGTCGGTATAAATCAAATTATCAAATAATAATGTGCATTTACGCGCTCAGTTTTAAATGTTGTGTCCTGTCCATCATCAAACAGTTAGAAGATTCATTAAGTGCTTACGTCCCAAATTAAAAGTTATCTATGAATGGCATTTCATCGTCTTGAGAAACTTGCTGTGTCTCCATCACTCATCCCACAGTGAACGTGCCAGAGATGTTGCCTTTTAATGGATAACGAATTTTCCAGAATCTGGATCACAAGTCGACGTGGTTTAATTTAGCTTATCAAGATAGCAGTTCGTGCGTATGCCCCGAACGCTAATCAAGTTAGGCTTGTCCCACGTTGGACCCGTTCAAAGTCGATAACACTTGGGTCATACCTTTTTTTTCGATTTATGTGCCATTGGTCATTTGACACAACGCGCTCCTGTCCAGATGGTGCCATCTTGCGGCACGTATTCAAAGCAACGCCATACTTTTAACCAGTGGCCCCACGCATCCGCCCAAAAGGTTACCCACTTCTCCTAATCCCTAATACAGTGAGAGGTTGAGGTGAACCGCACACGACCCAACTACCCCACCAAATAACCTAAGATGCAACTAGTATCGCAAAGTCGCTTAAAAAAAGATTCCTTCTTTTCCAGACCGGAAAACAAACTCCAATCGCCGCTCCGCTCGTCCCGACAAATCGTGGTCGATGTAAGAGGTCAACTAAATTGTCTTCTCCCACCTCCCCACGAATTAGTTTGTGAGCCTACCTATTTCCCAAGTTAATAATAAGTATTTCTCGCTATGAGGTAGATTTTCTACCCAAATGGTGCGTATAGACCTGACGGACACGTTAAAAAAGTCATTGATAGAAAACGATATGTACATCATTAGCTGGAGGGGGGTAAACATCAACGAGAACATAGAATAAGACCAGGATATATACAGAGCAAGAGGCAGACTCATTTGCGCATCAGTCTGTGATGACTCGGGAGTTTCGTCATTGGTCGCCCTGCGATGCCGCAAGTGCCAACCCCAACTCGTCCATCAACAGTCTCTGGCGAAGCAAATATACTCCTCTTCGTCTTATTGTGCTTATTCATCTTCTTGCTGAAATTAAGCCACTGATTTTTCTCCTTTTCACATGCTTTTTCAATCTCAGCATGCCGCTCGGCTAATTTCTGCTTCTTCAGCTTCTTTTTTTCAATTAATCGATGTCTAACCTCTTTCCTAACACATAGAATACTGTTTCAACAAAAAGCTAAGCTTACTTCGTCCTTTGGATAGGAGCGGACACATTTGTAACTGGCTTCATTTGTGCAATCTAAAATCAAAATAGATGACATGAAACCCGATGAATAATGATCACCATTACGAGTAAAATCAGTCAAAATAAAAGACAAGCTTGTGTAGATTCACAATCGACGAAAAACAAAAAGTTTGAATACCATTTCCGATGTGAACGAAATCGAGAGATCTAAAAGAAATCCGTTTCCACTATTGAATTGGATTGTAAGGTCCTCTGGTTACGGTGAGGCCATTTTTGCTAACAATCACCAAAATTCACGGCGAAACGACATCTCACTGAAAAAATTTAGGGGTACAAATGCCAGAGGCTACAAGAGCCTTGCAACATTTAAATAAAACTATTTTCCGGAATAGCGCAAATTGTTCTAGGTCTAGAATACGTATGCATCTAAGAAGTACCGATCAATTCCTTTGGAAAGTGGCATAAGTGTTTCCTCAAATCTAACGTCTCAATACATGGTACTAGCAACTACAGTGACGACGATACTAACGGACACGATCAATGCAGGCAGGCAACTAACAGACGCACTCATCAGTGACTAATCAACAATACAATGCAAGGGTCTCATTAAATTACCTGACAGATATCTGTTGTATCATAGTCAACGAAGTTAACGACACACGTACTATTCCCCAGAATTTCAAGCACCTTCGCCTTGTAAAATCTGAATAGAGCGTCACTACTAAAGGGAGCAAACATACAATTTATCTCTAGAGCACTGGGCCATACACATGTCGCCAACCTTCCAGGAGCACTCATCATTAGAAGTCGGTTTGTCAATAAGTTGGAGTGTAAGGTTAATGACTTCTTGTAAGTCCTCCTTTAATTTCTGCAATTCCTCATTGTCTTTATCAAGCTCTAGGGCAGCTTCGACCTGTTGAAGCTGAAGCTTGTGGTTCAACAACTGAAGCTGCAACGCCTCCGTCATCACGAGAGAACAAATCGGTAGTTTGCCCCAAACGCGCGCGTTAACAAAGATAATGGCGTTGGCATAGTCGAGTAGTAAAACAAAAAGACTGAACCGGAAAACGAGCATATAGGCCTAGAGATAATTGTTTACGAGGCGCAAAGATATTTTTAAATTATAGCTTTGAAAGATGGATTTTTGCATTCAGTTGCGTTGCTATTTGCGCCGTCTCCATCATCATCGAAACTACTTAAATGCGTTAAATTATTTTGCAAATAAAGTCTTTGAGACCTCAGTGGAATGTTTTCAAATTGGCGCCTCACAATACCCAGACACACGTTGACAGTTACCAAGGTAGAACCCATGAATACATTCCCACAATTGTGATGTTTCACTACGCGCATTTTTGAGCTCAACGTTAAAGTACAGGATATCAGGCTGCCAAAAATGCGTAACTCACCAAAATATGCAACTACAGTCGAAACTTATTTAAGCCAATGTTGTGACTTCTAATTATGTAGGAAGTGAGTCTGCTAGCCCAATCGCTGTGACTTGCAAACGTTGCTAGCAGGGAATTCTTTTTCTTTGTACCGTCGATGCTCTGCGTACATGCCACTTTAAATGTTGGTTTCATCATCTTGTTGTCTGCATTTTGGAATGCAAGTGATATAGTGGGATACTAGCCGCCTTTTCGCATATTACAACTTGTTCTTTAATGTAACTGATACTACGGAAGCTTTCTTGCTATGTGACCTGTCTTCTTTTTCCGGAAACTTTTCGAGTTCTCGTGGGAACTTGTAGCTTGCAATTTGGATCGCGTCACTATTCTCGGTTTCCGTTTTAAGGCAAATAATAGAAGTAATCGCACATGGCTCATTTATATGTCAGTTAATGGGTACTTTGTCACTGATTTGTACCCTTTATAAGCTTCACTGCGTTCAAAAAAACACCACGCATTTAGCTATTCATTTGTTTTCCGGGTTAGTTTACTTTCCCCACCTCTCTTGTTTTGTCGACAAAAGTGTTTTGGAAACAAGAGGAGGATATAAATGCTTTGATGACATTTTACCTCCTTTCTTCTCAGCTCAGGAACTCAGTATGTCCGATCTACCTGAAGGTTGGATATCTTGCGTGTCTTCATCAACAGGTCCGCCTTTGTGGCTTCTTCTATCACACTAAATTTTTATTTAGGACGTACATACTATGTCAACACTGTAACAAAAATATCTCAGTGGGAAAAGCCAACCGGTGATGATGGGAAAATTCGGTGCAGTCACCTCTTGGTTAAGCACGCTGCTTCAAGACGTCCATCTTCGTGGCGGGAAGAGAACATCACACGCAGCAAAGAGGACGCTCTTTGTATTCTCAATGGTTGGAATCTTTATTGCTCGTCTTTAGAAACTACATCCAGGTTAGTTTTTTACTTCAAAACTATAGAACATCTTTCGTTTGTATAGGCTACAAGGACGACATCGTGTCGGGAAGGAAGACATTTGAGGAGTTGGCCTCTCAGTACAGTGACTGCAGCTCAGCTCGCAGTGGTGGTGATCTCGGTTTCTTCGGTCGCCATCAAATGCAGAAGCCTTTCGAGGATGCTGCTTTTGGTCTTCACGTTGGGGAGATGTGCGGGCCGGTGGAGACTGACTCCGGTGTGCATCTTATTAAACGAACTGCGTAAGCCCTACTCAAAATCTACGTTCTTAAACCCGCTTTTTAATAAAACCACCCCTGTCGGCACGGTTATTTCTATGCATGAAGTGTGTACGGAATTACGTCGTTCATAACGGACTCACTGTTTTTATCTAAAGACCCAAGATGAAAGCCTCCTAAGGACAACGCTCATTTATTCCGCTAGATTATGTTCCTCTTATAAGTGAACCCAATCTGACGTGTTCTTAAACTCCAGCGTACATCTCGCGCACAAAATCACAATACTATGCCTATATTTCGTTCGATTACACTGGTAGAATTATGATTACGATGCATACGCTATCTTAAATCTTTTTAAAACCAAAGCGTACACCTTGATACGAAGCTGCATAATTCTCGGTACTGGAATTTTCTGATTTCGCATCAAGCTCATTGTACAAAAAGGAAAAGCCTATTTATGATACATCTGGGGTGTACAGAAGATTAAAAAAGCCAAAAGAGGAAAAAGTTCCTCTACCCTGTCAAAAAACATCGAAGAAGTATATCTACCAAGAAACCTACGGGCCATCCGATCTCAATGTCTCCAATTGTCCGATTCAACTAAAAAAAATACAAATGTTAGAACTTGGGAAGACTGAATGGATGAATGACTTGTTAAGAGAACGAAACTCACATTAAGACACTTATCCACCGGTAGGCCGAATCCATGTGAGAGGAGAGCAGATATGTAAGTTAATTCCGTGCACAGGAACGGTCGCTCAAGCAGTGGTGTGGAACAGGCTGAAACGGAAAGGAAAAATAAGCCTAACACTTGGATGTATGTATGGCGAAGAATGGTGGAGCGGAAATTACCCTTCCTAGCGGCGTCGAAGTACCACTGGACTGGAACTCGACCGTCAGCTGGCCCGCTTATGAGCAATTTAGCCGCCTCTTCTGTCTTCGAGCACATGAAGGAAGTTGCCTGTATCTCAAGTTGTTTTAGGCCCTCAAGATCCTTTACCCGGTTGGCTAGAAGAATGGAGATCAATTAGTTTAACCTAATCACATACGAAGAGACATTTTCTTTTTTGATGATAAACGGAATAACAGCTTTTCATGTATTTTGATAAAATACGGAAGTGGGTTTACTGTCTGGTTTGATAATGGGATGGGCGCGTTAGGCTAACGACACGCGTGGATAAATGATGACGGGATGTGTAGAGGGCCTCCGCCTAGTGTTGCCTGAGTGCTCGCTGTGTTAGCAGGTTACTTTGCAGCGTGACGTATCAGCTTTAAGTGGACACGTACCTATACCATGCGAGTGGATGTCTTAAGTACCAGGAGTAACTCATTGGAGTTCTTCTGTTGGCGAAATGAATGCTGTTGCGATAATACTTATGGAGAACACAACAATTTATGCTTAATGGGCGTTCAAATAATAGGCCTTTTGCTTATGGTGGATAAATAGACGAGCAAGTACGTGGTAAAAATCTGAATGCTTCCTTGTGTACTCTTGATTAGTTTAAGAGACAGAAGTGTATCATCTTTCTGCAGTGGCCGCGATTGGTGAAAAACACTTAGGCACCAAGCAAATTCCCTATGCAGCAGCACGTGCTGCAATGTTTATGTACATTTAAAATACCTAAACTCTTGGTTTACTGGCATCAAAGGTTAAAAAGCAATTTAGTGCCAAGCCTACCGCCTAATTCGCGTTCAGTTATCACATTCACAGCTGTTTCAAAGCACTCGTTGAAAACATTCCCGGGAAGAGACTGGCGACCTTCAAAACCGTGCGAGACCGTCCACTTCTTGCCGCCGTGGTTCCAGCTACCCTTAACGAAAAGAGAAATAGGGGGAGAGGAATCATAGCCCATATAAGTATTGCCCGGTGTATTGGTTGGTCATAGACATTGATCTGGAGATGAAGTCGAAGGAGATGGTCACGTTAAACGTACTGTGAAATTCGTTGGGAAGCAGGGTGAAAGGAGGTGATTAGAGATGCTCGCTGTAGATCGATTGGAGGAGTGCAAAAACATTGAATGCATTGCCGTTACCAGTCCAAGACCCAAATAGCTGCGCGCAAAAAACTACAAAAGAAAGGAAGAGGCTAGTTTAAACGATTGGCCGCCGTTGAGCCGCTCGTGTTATAAAGCGGAGTGGAGGTAAAGCCCTCCTTTTATGCGCAGTGTAAGAAGAGAACTAATAGGCTCCTAACCCTCTACACTTAACAGCGCCCAATAAAGCCTTCGAGGAGGATTCAGGTGTTACATCGGAGATGGTGCTGACAGATTCACTCTTATGAGGGAACGATCGCGCCTTTTTCCATATCGGTTACTACCCCAAAGCGTCACAGGGAGAATACCTAGGAATCTAGGAAGACTCAGAAAAGACCTGTCAAAATCCCATCGACTTTTGAGAGTTATCCCGAACTTGAGTTCTGCGTAATGGAGTCGAACCAGATATGAAGAAATCGAACCCGCCCGCTGTAGAGCACCGTCCATTCTTCAGCACTAGCAACCCAATAAAACTCTTCACCCCTTAATTTCACGACAAAACGGGAAGTGTTTTCACTATAATGCAAATTCGTCATTATTCTCGTTCCTGTTCGCGGAGTAGGCAGAAGAGTGATCACGAAATTCTCCAGGGACGACGCACAAGACACGAAGGAGAGATATGTAGCAGAGTAACATTTGTTGCAATTTTACCTTCAGTCACACCTACCCGTTCTCTATTACGACAGCATAGAGCCATACTTGCAACACCCATCCCGCTAGTCCACTAGGTCTTACATGCTTCGATTAAAAGTTACTTCTAAATTTTCACGCCTTACAATACCAAGCGCTAAAGATTGACGACTAGTTTGAGCTTTTCTGTTTATAAGAACAGTAGGAAATCTGGATGGATACCTTGCCGCTAGGAGGAGAGAACTGGGTACCCAAATAAACACTTGGGATGTTGTGAACATATTCGCTTGGCCCGGCATCGGTGGTAACACCGAAAGTGAGTTGGAATGAGGCACCACCTAGGTCGAAGATGGCCTGGTGGTGGATAACTGCTTCGGTAAAAGGCGACTGGGGGTGGTAGGATGCGAGGCAAGACTGCTGATTAAGGAATAGGAGGGAGATCCATGCAAAGAAGCCCTCATCGATGCCGTCCATGATGCTCACCACTTCCTGTGAGGCCAGATGGAACCCGGAGGTGTTGAGGAGATTGTGAACCTCAAAGGGCGAAGCACGAAAAAATTGGAGCATTCTTCCATTAAAAATTCCAAACTGCAATTTCCAACGTCAAAAATACCAACGGTGGGGAAAATGAAGGATAAGAAGGCATCTCTGAATTCAAACATCAATCATTTGGTGGTCATGAAGAATAAGAATTACAGGGAATATTAATAGCAGTCCGCATTTGCTTATTACTTCTTCAAAAGCGTACTGTTTCTGAATCAAAGTTAGGAAAAAAAGTGCATGGTAGATAAAGGCAATTTGAGAGCCATGAGCCTAGTTTCACAAGTCGTTTAATAAGGGTTTGGAGGGATCCATCAACCATACGCATTTCCATTTCAAACTTTTCAACTGCTCACGTGAATTAGTTCGGGGTCCTACCTCCGTTGCTAATGATTGTGATTGCGGGTAGACTTGATGAGTTCGACGTAACTCGGAACAATACGGCGATTTTCGAGCTATCCACTCCACTCATAGATGACTGTAAGAATGAAGGCCTTATTCCCAAGTTAAATGTTCATGCAGAGATGAAAATGTTCCAATTCATCTTGATAAACAGTGAGTGACAAATACTTCGTTTTTATTGAAGAAACTCCGTTCAAATTTAGTGATTCTCACAGTAGAATTCGACTTTCATGGTAGTCTGGAAGAAAAGCTGGTTTTTCTAGGGAGCAATCGCGCAGTACGCACGGACGCCATTGGTTACTAATTAAATACTGTTTAAACGTTCCCTCCTTGGTATTCACAAATTTATTTTTCACTTTCTTGCTCGAAATTGCCACTTTTCTGGAGAATTACACCATCACTTAACAACAACCAATCCGATATTTTCCACTTACATATGCCCCGATAAACATTCAACGCATGGTGTGGATCGCAACCTTCGTGACAGGATTGTTCATTTGAAAACTTCGAATGTTCTTTTCCACCTTATTTTACCACATGCTATTCTTCAGTTCGGCAGAAACACTAACCCCTACGTAATTTTCAGCAAACTGATATCGAGAAGTCAAGCAAACTTAATTTACCACCAGAAAAGTCTTCTTGGTAGATTGGGGCAAGGGTAATAATAATGATGAACAGCTTCCATTGTCGGTCGCAATGGCAATTAGCAATGCTCTAGCCCATTTAGGAATGTCTGTTTCGATCCCTCAAAATTGATAGCAGTTTTAAAGGGCTCATTCTCAACAGGCTACAAATGGGATTAAATGTATCTTTTGCGGATGAATAAATCTGCGCAGAATCACAGCAGAAGGACTAATGAGGGCGCGTTAAATATCTGCAACCAACCTGATCTAGAGTCCAATCAAACGACTAGTAGCGTAGTGAGACCAGATCTATGCAAATTGAAATCGTTCATGGAGGAGCTGTTTAGAAAATTAATAAGGCGAAATATGACAATAACTGAAGGTTAACATCTACATCCACATTAAGGATCGCAGAGGCAAATCCAAATATTCACCTAGATAGCAATAAGGAAACAATACAGTGAAAGAGAGGAATGAGAAAAACAAGGCACCGTAGTGAGACGTTATATTTTCCATTTGATAAAATATTTCCGCGAAATGGCAAATGTTATCACGGAAAACGACTGGTGCACTGAAGACGTGGTACTCTGGAGTCGGTCCAAATCCACCAGATTCACTGGCGCTGGTAAATTTAGGAGCCTTTTCTCCATAAAACCTATTTATCATAATATATTCGTTCTTATTTCGTGACCTACTTCAATCTATCTAAGCTGTTTTAGCGACCGAAGCAGAAGAGAGTCGATGAGAAGGTTAGAAAAGACGAGAATTACGTAGTGAAATGGTGCTTTTCTATCGAGTATGTAACTATGCGAATTTGTTCAATCTCTTGCGATTCTGCCTTTATGCTGATAGCCTGCAGCTCTGCTATTAGTCTCCTAGCTCTTACATTTATAACGAAGTTCCCTCCATACTGGTGAAGGCAGCTAGAGCATTGGGGTTACATGTCAATCATTTTTACAGGTCATTAATCACACTGAAGCCGAGTTACATTCGTTTTGTGTAATTGACTAAGCAAATTTGAAAAGTCCTCCTGATTGGATCCTCAACACCAAAACTAATCGTCTGCCAGTTAGCCTACACCTTTGCCGTAGAGCCACTTCCCGACTTCTACCATTCACAACTCTCTCAAAGATAGCTCAATAGTTCATATGACGAAGGACACGGACCCCTCCATTCACTCACGGTTTGGCCTTCACAACAATTCCATTTAGCTCTCAGTCCTTAAGTATGTTCAAAACAAAGATACCTCTAAACAGATATGCCTTTTAACGTATTCAGAGTTAAGCCAGGGGTTAATTTGGAATGAAGAATGAGGGATAAAATAAAGAAAAGGAAAGGAGAGAAGAGGGACCAATGGGACAACTCACAGACTGGAGAAGGGTATTGGCAATTCGTTCAGGCAGCAGTCGGAGACCTGCGGTGGCGCGCAACACCAGAGGGGTGAGGGCTCGCTTGTGTTTGGGTATACAGGCCCTCGCCTGATCTAGCAGTGGGCGCAAGTAGGCCACCGAGGCGTGGGGGAAACGCGCAAACTCCGAAAGACCCGGTTCCACTGTAAAAGCCTCCTCACTCACCAACTTGTACCGACACCTTTCTGCATCCAAAATGAGGAGAACGATTACGTAAAAGTGCGTCTGTGATGCAGCGGTACCTAACTTACTTCGTTGCTTGAGTTGATTAATGAAAATTAATATCCAACCATATGACTTAAGCAGTCGCATAAGGATTTAAATGACCAGCATTCAAGACAATTAAAAAACAATGAAAATGCGATATGAATGGGCAGTCGAAAGAGTTTCGGAATTGTTACAACATCTACTATCATAAATGGTATTCGGCTTATCAAATATTATGTTCAACTCAAAACAATTAAGCACAACGGGAGACATCTGGGATTAGGGTAAAGAGATTCGTAAAGTAGCGCATATTATTAAGTTAGTGATACAATTGATATTTGCTTTATTAGGTCATAATATGTCAAATTTGAGGAATTCTTATCGACTTTCACCTTGTAAACCGCATACGATCATTTCTTGTGAAAAAGTGCATGATTAGACTTTATTCACGAGGAACATTCAGATATCAAAAAGTGGCTAAATCTTCCTGTTCCATGAATATTCGTCTCATTAGCTCATGTTAAAATTGTTACCAAAATTAACGGATTCCGAACACAACGAAACGCATTCGTAAAGAAGTGTGATCTAAAGCTCTACTGCCATTTATTTGTAATCCTTCAAAGCGTACATTCAAAGAAACTACTTAGCTCTGCTGAGTCGATTAAAGTTCGTATATAATTTAGTATTAAAATCATCTCCAATAAGTGGTAAGCCTACGCACTAGGTATCTAAGGCTTTGTTTTAATGAAGTCTCACGAAATTAACAGATAAAAGGAATTCCAGATGCCCACTTCCTCAAAATATTCCTAAAACCACCCCTATGTGAAATTGGAGTGCAAGAAAGATGGAACTCACAACCCCCCTGAGGCATTTTGAAGCACCTTGTAGACCCGTGCCCTTGACCCCGTGCTTCCGGCATCAAAAATCACCCCGTAGAGGACGTGATCTTGGGTATCGGTGAAGAGGAACCGATTGAGGGAGAAGGCCAGGTAGATGGCGAGGAGACTGGTGAAGGTCAAGGAGAGCCCACGGCACATTCTAAAGAAGACAGAAACACAGTTAGCCCCCATCTCCTCCACTTTTTGGATGAGAAAACTTCCGCAGTGCAGTTTATTTGAAAAACCAATGCATTAAATTGAAATCAATTGTACAAAAAATAGGAGGGCCTAAAGCGTTGCAGGGAAGCGAATTATGGAAAAGATGAAGAGGATGATGGAGCAGACAAAGCCAGAGACAAATGCGTAGAGCTGATTGAAGGACAGCGCCATTGAATCGAAAATGAAGGCAACGATGAGGGCTGAAAGGAAATAGATGAAACACTCAAAAGTATTGAGAGGTTAGCAAAAAACGCAAGTAATCGGTATAATCATGGTTGGTAAGCTGAGTAATTGATTTACCAGGTGAGAAAACAGAAAAACCTTCGTAATGTGAAGTAGAACAACGCCTTGAGAACAGTAAAGTGAAAAAAGACGCCAACCTTCATTTCTATCTAGTATCACTGAAATGGACGACCCTGTCGGCACTTCTTCAACTAAACTTTTTCCTTATCTACGATCTTTCGATGACTTCAACACTTACTAACTTTGTGGGTTGTGGTTGAGAGGCAGTAGATTAGGTTTGTGGAGCTCAATCACACTAATCTAGGCCTTAAGAAATTTGAAATACAGCTTATGTATATTAAAGTATTAGAAGCAACGTAAATTAGGCGTTGGTCGTATATTATTACCTACCTATTTCGTGGATTCGCAATTTGCAATGCATGTATCAGATGTACTTTACCATTACAATTTACTGAAAAGGATGGTAGAAGTATTGCCAACATGTATGCTAACAGAAGTACATTAAAGCTATTATGACAGATATAACACTTTGTAAATGATGCCTAAGACGTAAAAAAATCTAACGAAGCAATTATTTTGTCATATAAAAGTAGACTAGAGAGATGAGAAGTAAACAATCAAATTGCACACTAGGAATCTATAAAGTTTACTTAACATAAAGTAGAGAGTTGTTGTGGTAGCGTTATCAACACTTTTACAAATACAGCAGGTTAGGGAGCAATTTTTGAGTCATCCAAACACGCCAAATTGGTTATTTAACTGTTTTCCAGGTTTGAAATACTTAGAATACGTTCGAAAGGCTGAAGACCGGATAAAAACGAGCTGCAAGAAACATCCCCTACTAAATTATCAGGACGTAAGCACCTTAAAAACTGATTGGTTTGTTCGATCATACAGACGTACGGATGATAACACTAAATACTCAGTTCGCCAATGGATCGAACAAGTCAGGAGCAGATTTTACCACCTTTAGCAAGCCAAAGTGCCTTCAATAGTGCGTTTATAGAAGGAGAAACGAGGTCCAAAAGTGGAAACACCTACATGATACGAGCAACACCGTAAAAGTGCTAAGCAGTCCCATGACAAGCATCAACACAGGCGCATATATCCGCGCAAGCTTATGTGCTCGGAGGTTAACAATTGCAATTATCATAGCAACCCCATATATAACACCATTACAAGCTGCTCCCCACAAAAATACTTTCCACCAAATATCTAAGAAGTGAGAGAAATGATTTCCTACCCCTCAGTCTCCAATTCGTAACATTTGCCGTCTCATCCATCCACGAAACACGGGTGAACACCCGGGTCAAAGCCGTCGACTAGGCTAGATCTTATGAAGTAGTTAGTGAATTCGAATGCTGTATCTATTACAGTTTTCTCATCCATAGGATTGTATACGGTACGAGGATTTTCTCTCGTTTATAGTTTTTGCAAAGTAATGGGTGGGTGAAACTGTCCGGAAGCATTACAATAACGTATATTATTAAATTTGTCTCCAAACTAAGATGTGCACTGTGCAATAAAGAAGCCAGGTTTTCTACTCAGGAAGACCAAACTTCTTAGCAATTAGGGGCTGAGTTGCCATATATTTAGAAATTCGTTGGTTCTTTTTCATGGCAAAATATTTCACATGTGTGTAGTCAGTGTGGAGCCCCTATCCTGTCCAGGCTCGTAAAAGGCCAGTGACATGGCGGGTCATGCATTATAAGCGCACATAAGAATTGGGTAACAATTGATATAGTATATAGGCCATGCCGCATAGTGGAGGCAGCTGCGAGTGGAGTGTCAGCGTAACTCAGCGCATAAAATTAGCAAACATCAGATTATTACGGATCTTTATCTATTAACTAAAGTGCATCTCATTGGTCATCTACCATTTCCTTCGTTTTTTAATTTGGTGACATGTACTTCTATGCTACTTTAGCTTATTACAAATTCAGCGAAGACGCTGTGCGCTACAATACACCAACGCCTGCTAATGAGCCAAATCGTTTTTTCCAGCACTTATAAAATGCCTGTATTTGGGAAGGAAAACGTATTCATTAATTGAGAATATCACTGGAATCCGATTGCCATTGGTTATTAACGTCGTCCAACTAGATACATAGATTTTCGACTCTTTTGAAGTCACATTGCTCATTGTTTAACCAGAGTTGTGGTAACTTCAAACCGACGGCTTAACATTAACAAAAGGTGTAAAAGCATAGATACCTAGGCAGTCGCGGAGTGATGTGGGAATGGCGGTCTCTTCTCGATCTTTATTTCACTCTGGGCTACATACGTAAGGGTTTGCCTTTTTAAAATCGGCAAAAGTTCCCACTTTACTGGTGATAATCGCCGGGAATTCTTATGCCAAGCTGCATAATGTGTTATTCGCTATTATCGTGGGAGTCCGTTGGGATCCTTGTATCTTGTCCCAATTTGTGCACGCCACATCTATTCAAGCGATTCAATGCGCAGCAAATGTCGTAGATTTATAAGCATAATATGTGCTCTATTCTACTTTTCAATGGAATACATACTAATTCCGAACCCCTATAGCGACTGCATTCCAGTAATTTAGCTTCCCAAATGCAGCTTGGCTCCTGAGACTACCTATTTTTTTTGAAACCCAGCTTAGCTGCTTCTCTCATAAAGCAATTTCGGTACAATTTCACTTGCTTCGATATTCCATTTTTATTTTTTTCTCTGTACTCTTATCGTAGTGGATAAATTTTATACAAAATGATAAATTAGGTATGCAAAACCCCAATGCCAAATCCTCGATAGGCGTTTAACTTTAATGCATATGGACAGGTTGGTACTGCTGTAGCCTTTGCAAAGTTTACCACGCAGCAAGATTTGCTAAATCGCGTCTCTGTAGAGGACGCCAGTGGGATTCGATGGATGCAAACATTATTTCGTGCCGCCCAGACCGAAATCGCAAATCCAACCACCAGTAACAAAATAAGGCTACACAGCATTGGGAATTGCATGTGGGTTGAGAAGATTTTTCAGCATTGCTTCACGCCATGTGGGTTGCTGTTTTGTTCTACCTTCTACCGCCGGTTTCAGGTCCTCGACTTGGGAAGGCTGACTAGGGAAAGCCGTCACCTATTATGTTAACATTGGCTTATAAAAGTGATCAACGTTTTATTGAGGAATCCGAGTTTCTCTTTTCCTCGAGGATCATTAATGCCTTCCCAAACTGCCCCCTTGCCACCTTAAAGGTGTACGCGAACAAAATTGTTACATAAAATTACCTCGTTGGTTCTGGAAAAACAACTTAATAAATTGCAAGAAGTAGTAACGCATCACTCGCGAAAAGTGTCTTCGTCTGCTTTAAAAATTATTAAATGTATTGCAGCACCTCGAGACTTCCCTGGATATAAAAGAGGTCATGATAGTTGGGCAGAGTATGTATTGTTGACGCTTAGGAGGGCTGAGAGGGGGCTACTGGGATGGGCTGGAGGCCAGGTCACTCGGTGGAGGTACAATGGCGGAGTCACTAATTGGCCCATTACTGAAACCGAGAGTTAAACAAACAGATAGTGTAGTAGAGTTGCTTGTTTTCTGTAAGTATTAATATTTGATAAATTTGAAGAAGGTCCGTAACATAAAGGTTCCTTGTTTTAGAAAAAATCAATGCTGGAACAGAGAACTCTTCAACTTAGCCACTGATGTAAAACTAACACAGAGTTAGATGTCAAAATCCGTTTCAATATCCTACAAGAACATTATTTTTTCTAGGATGCTCCTAATCCTGTCTTCAAGGATCGCTAATCAAATCTGCCATCGAAAATTGCAGTACCTCCAACCATCCCTGCTGGAGGCATGGCGCTATGGAAGGACGTTTATTGCTAAGAGATTTAGGGTTTAGATGATTTCAGTCATGACGTAAAGCAGTAGCCAAAATGTGGGGGCGAAACGCTCGCATCTTAACTATAAAATTGAAAGAGGCAGCATCCTACGTCAGAAAAGTTACATACGCGTGTGTTCCAAGTGCAATCGCTCGTTCGTCATAAGGCGAGGAGACGAGTGGGCTGGGCCGTCACTTTTTTATTCGCGTCGCCTTAAATTAGGCGTCTGCAGAGGTCGTGCACGAGTTTCTTCATTTATGCTGACTTGCTGTTAATAAAGTGGTAACTTTGCTGCAAAATCCCATTTGCCACTTGGCCACGTTTGTGGAGCTCCATCAAGTCCATTTAAGTAATATGGTCAGTCGTGGGGGTTTCCTTCGAATAAACGCATATTCAGACGTATTCAGTGGAAATTCTTTTTTTAAGTATGGACAGATTCACTCTTCCATATCTAATTAAACTATGTTGAGGAGTTAAAACTCTTTTTTTCTTTTAATCCTTTTATCATGTAAGACATAGAAGCATCATTATTAACTACTAAAAGTAGTATTTTTGTCATATTTTACCACAAAGTCCAGTACTCCAACTGTATCTTGTCCTTTGAATTTCCACGGAAAATGGATACTACGATAAAAGTTCCAAAGTGATGGTTCAAGAAGGTGGATCTTAAATAGCTAATCCATTTACAAACTACTAAGCAACATAATTCCTACAATACCTGGTAATCAAAGTCCCTTTGGTGTATGTAGAAAGCAAATGAGGACAAAAACAAGGTGTGAAGGGATATTTAGTGACTGTAGCGCCCCCAATACTTCTCTGAAATCGCAAGACGGCATAACACCAGGAAGAATATGCATTGGCGATGCGCAGGAGAGTTGGGAGGAGCCCCTATGTAGCCCGTTACCAAAACCGAGTGTAAAAGAAGCAACTAAAGTAGTACAGTAATCATGGGAGGTCATTATTCACCGTTTGGGGTTGATTTTGCAATAGGGACTACGCGAAATGAATAACAACGTATGTCGGTATTCAGTAGGAGACGAATTTAAGGGAAAACTCGAGTTCAACATCTTCGATGGCACGATAACAGGAGTTTCCTTTTGCGGACAAAACTATCGCATTAAAGTGAATCAACTTCTCTTCCCTGATAGCTGAAATTATGAAGATTAGTTCTTTGAACCGCACACACCCTTCCCCCCCCCCAGTTCTCCCTACGGGATTTACCATTGGCAAACGAAGTTAGAAGAGGCATGTGTTGTGAAGATATGGATAAGGTCCCACACGCTATTCCTTATAATTTGTTTGGGACGAATTTAATAACCCTCTATTAAGTTAAAACTAGGTGCTCTATGGTTCGCTTATTCATTTTTTAAAAGGATGGAGCTTCGGACTTACTGCAGGGAAATATTGAAAGTGCGCAAACTTGACAATACGACTGGATGATTCCAGTCGTCGAGCGCTCCTCTAAATATAAATTTACTACTTGGTGGTTCCATTGATTTTACACAAGCCATTGAAAAAGTAGAGCACAATCATGTGTAAAATTTACTCTATGGTGACTCAGGTACAACTTGACTAAACCGCTTACAGCTGTCCATTTCTTGTCTTGGGGTAAGCTTAGCTCTACGCGGTCTCAAGAGTTTAGGGGAGACTTCCACTATGGTTAGGCCAATCATTATTTGGTCTTTTTCGACATCTAATTTTTGGTTTTTTTTTGTAACTTTCAGGATTCGGCTTCTTTGAAAAACCTCCATTACATTTAAGGTCTTGGTAATAATTGACAGCTTTTACAATTGAGCTCACGCCATTTCAGTGAGTTACTTTTGCCTTCGTCTGTTGGACTACGTTTCCAGCTGCAATGAATGATGAAGGTACATTATTGCTAAATATATTCTGTCACGTTGTTTTTCTCAAGTAAATACACTCTATTTAATGTCATCCCGAGGTCGCATCTACTCACTCGTGCAATCACTGGGTTTTGAATACGCCCCCTCTCGAACGTGTAGGCACCCTCAAGCAAATACTTCAGTGGTTTTTATTCCATTGTAATAAAGTCAGATGTAGCCAAGAGGGTTAATGCTGATTTGGTGAATTCCACTGAAAATTCTGGAATGCTACGTGGAGAACTTGAAAGGAATGGGAAGTGATGGGAAGACTCGATTACCCGGAATCGCCTCTTCAATTTGAATTATAAGTCTTAGAGCTATCCTTTTATTAGTTGGAAGTAACTATTAGAATGAGGTAAATATTACCTCGTCGCAAACGAATGCATCAATTCATCGCGTCAAAAGCATTTAATTTTACTGATGAAATGAAGCAATACTGGTGCCAGATAGTCTCGTAAATGGTCGAAACAGAGCCGTGTTATACTTTCACAAGACGAAAGGCAGACTTACAGGTAGCCCTGTTTCCAACCTTACAATTTTGCGGATATCGTTTTAAGCTTAAAGGGCAAGAGAAATAGAGGAAACCTTTCAGCACCGACGCGACCCTCTGCGTCACCTTCCTACCATGCACAGCCTCGCATGGCGTATCAGTGATAACATTTCAGTAGGGCGAATCTAACGCAACGCCATCTGAACTCGTGTTAAATCCCAGGAGCTTTATTTGTCCAGAATCGCAAAGTGGGAGAGAAAACAATGTTGTATATGGTCGCCCCGACCTGCATGCCACTTTAAGCACACAGTTTCCGCATCTGGGTAGCTTGACAAGAATAGACATGTGTATTGTTGTTGTTGCTGTTACCTATCGTTACCTTGCAATTTTTGATGTGTTCCATTCTTGGGAAGCTTCTCATTGGTTTTCTGCTTCACCATATTTCACATCTCACCGCGCCAAGGTGTAAAGCGAGGAAACCATTAAGACTCATGGGAAGTAGGCTTAAATGGGGTTACTTGTAACTGCAGCGACAAAGGCAATGTCTGTGAAGAGTCTTGTATTTATTTTTCCTCTCGTACTCCCTCAGGAGGCCATTATATTGGCGCCTAACCCTATCCTCTATGACGAGCACTATAAAGGTAGTCAAGCTAATTATTCAACTTTGATAAATTGGTCATTTGCTTTCAGACACAACCCTCATTGACTGTTTTTCCATACTTGATTAAAGATGTTTACGTGACTTAGGAAGTCTTAGGTTAACGATTGCACTCTGGCACGCATCTTTTTGCGTTGGCACCACTCTTTGCGCCAGTACACCTCAGAAGAGAATTCGAGTAGGTAGGTTCAACTTTTGCACATGGGTGTACCCGTTAATGTTGGTCTTCAAGAACTAGGGTTGTGAAGACCCAAAACTCTGCTGTTTGAAAGTTTACGAAACGTCTATCTAACTGAAGGAAGAATAGGTCATGCTGTACTGGTGAGCTATATGAGCGTTGCTTTTACCCTTCTTTAAGATTCATTGTGACTTCATTTTTGTCCATTGTTTATATAGATTCAATGCCTTGAACAAATCAATGTACAGGCACGAAATTGGCTACATTTCCAGAAATCTGTCCCTAGTTTATGCTCCAATTGTCTCAAAAGGTAGATATGGTTATTAGGCTTACTCATTGCTTGAAAGCAGCTTCTTATCACATTAATCTGTGAAGGGTTCGACCATTTCCATGGTTAATAATGGACCCAGATCAGACAACGTTATTGAAGATGGGGCTAACATATGAAGGGAGAGGGCGAGTGAATGAAGGTACAAAACCCGAATCCGCGAACGTCTATCCGTAGGGCATACATCAAACACACTTTGGACGATGATAAGACATTTAGCTTCAGTAGGCCGCTTGGATTGTGTTGATGTTTTAGCGTTAGTCGCACCACAGTCATCAATGATCCCGCCTGTCGTAGTTCACATCCTACAGCCTCGATGGTCATTCCTATAAAATATGCAGCTAGCGCCTGATTCGCTTGATCCTAGACTCCGGACCAACACACAACATAATAAGGAATCGCACAAGAGGCAAATTTCGAGTGGCATTGCCGAACACAATCATTCACGAACATTTGCATTTTCTAATAGCACTGCTAAGATAGGTAAGCTGTAGCAGAATCCTTCAGCCATACTGACAAGCCTTTCTGGGTGCAGCAGATGCAATGTTAAAAAATATGGTTTCCATCCCTTTAAATTCATTCTTGACTGCCCTATGCAAATTCTACAGTTCCTGTGTAATTTGAGAGTCCCGCGCAATTTCGACGCATGCATTATCTCGCGCGGTTGGTTAGTTGGCTTCAACTAGGAGATGTTTTACCCATCCTTACTTCACACGTTTCCTCCGTTACCTAGGTAATGGAACAATTTGAAATGAGCAATTGCATTTCTATACCCCGCCTCCGGATTTTTACCTTATTATGCTTAAAAAGATAATTTCTTTCAGTAGCACTAACATTTACGTAGCAGATACAGCTTCTAGGTAAACGGATTTGTGAATGATTGCATAAATTGCATAGTCAATAATACCAGGTATTTAAATACACCCAAATCTCAGAATTTCCAAACGTTCTGGGTCCGAAGTTATTAATAAGCTGTGTAAATTCGACTAAATACCCTTAGGAATGAGTATAATGCCACAAATTTCTTCAGTACTCTGCAATTTTGCCCCCAAAAAGACCATAGATGATAAGCGTGGGAGGTCTGCGGTGAACACAGCGTTCTCTTTACACGTTTAGCACATGGTGGTGCAAGTTGCTTGATCAATGACTTGATTCTTAGGGTTTCTACAACTTTTGCTGCTTTTGAGTGTTTTTAATGGACTAAAGAGGCCAGGTCGCTTAAACAGGGCGGAGCCTGTTTTAACCGAACCAGAGTGAATGCGCAAAGGTGGCTGGTCACCCCACGTAGATGGTGGTAAAAGAGAGTGATGGTGCTTTGTATTTGGGTCAGGTAAATGGAGCCCTCTACTTCCGTGCTGAATGCGTGGCGCGTGCCACGCTGGCAATCTGCGCATCACCAAACCCCAACGACCAATCATCTTCTTGGCACACAGCATCGGGCCCGCATATTTCCACATAAATTAAAACTCCCTATTGATGCGTGCACAACCGAGCGGGCACGGAGGTTAATAATTTCGATCTACCAAAAGGATGGCCAAGACATTCGCGTGAAGCACCGATTCAAGGTTTGTGTTCGTCTAGTGACTTTCAAGGGATGTACTTCCGGTGTACACAGTCTAATCACACAGTACTCTTCATGGAATAAGAAAGATTTTAATAGGCTATCCAAAGCTTAAGTGGCCTAAAGCACGTTAATTTATATAAAAATCACAAACAGCGTAAATTTGAGCAAATTTAGTGCTGAACTTCTGAGCTCTCCATAAGAAATCCTCTAGATATGCTACGATTGGTCTAACTCTACGTATAGTTGAGAGGACTCATGCTAATTTTTTTGCGCAGCTCCTGAACACCGACTGTCCCACACATATTGTTCTACCAAACCATGCGATTTTATCCAATTTATTTGAGCATGCACAGAGCGCGTGGGATAGGCTGTTTACTGAATCATCGTCGTCTGGAGGTCAGATGCTATGACTCAGGCGTTAGAGATCCATGTGGCTTTTCTCCCGCTCCCTTCAAAGAGCCACTTTGTACCTGCAATGGGCCCCCTACAGGTGGAAGAATTTCATACCGAATCGATGAAGGCTGGGTTCTCTAAAAGTGAGAATTTCTGCGGCAAAAAAAATTGACAAATTTGCGTTTCTTCATGGATTTCGATTTCAGCATTTTCTAAATATTTTTTTTTTTTAAAATTGGCCATGTCATTGTCTAGAACTAACAAATCCGCATGGTTTTTATTACCTCTCTCAACTTCTCCTAGTACTTTCGAGTATGTTTTCCACCCACGCTAAGATGTAAAATTTAGAGCCCGTACAAAATTTCCTAGAGGAGGAAATTATCACTGCAATTCGGGCGGAGTTGGTGGAGCCTAGTCCCTTTATTTACCCCCACTTACATGGGTTCCCGTGGCAGTAACTTGTCGATCCAGTGTATTGTAAAGGAAGTTATTGAAGGCACTCAGAAGGCAGGACAAATATATTGCGTGTGTGTGGAAAAGATTTTAATGCAATTTTTTAACAAGTTGCAGTACACAAGAACAGGAAATTCAAAAATTTTGCATATATTGCTAAGGAGGCGGGGATTCCAGTATCCAAAGGGAGCCGCACCAGTTAAAACCTGATCTTGAGTTAACTGCCTTTGGGTGTTGAAAGCAAGGATGTTTACAAATTCTTTTACTGTGGCAAGTACTTTGGGAAATATTTCTCATGCAAAATAATCTGGAAAATTGAAAGAAGGAATAATTAGCTTTAAAAACCACTCACAATATTTCATAACTTGAAACTTTAACGACATGGTTTCAATGATTAATTAGCGAAATTCATAATTGCGGGATTGGGGTCAATGGAGTTAAATTACTTTAAACAGTCGACACTTAAATATGAGGCCTTGACAGTATCTAACCATCGAGGTTTTATGTCAGCATTACTTTCTGCCGCTATTCTCGCTGATCTCCGACCTCTGTCACACCAGATAATAGCACAATCGCGTCACTCACCTGATTCTGAAGCATGTGCTTGTATGCGTGGTGACGGTATCGCATCTACGTCACCATCATTACTCTTGACAGCAGCAAAATCACTGGCACCGATGCGTTCGCTTGTGCGCACGCATGTTCGACCGGTCAGCGAAGCGCCGTTCGCACACCGAACAGACGAAGGGCCTCTCGCCGGTGTGGGTACGTCGGTGACTCTCCAGCAGCCAGAGTCTGGAAAAACGCCTTCCACACTCTGGGCACTGGAATGGCATTGTGTGGGTTGCCTCATGAAGTCTACAGAGCAGAAGATGAAAGAAAAACACACATTTTTAATTGGAATCCAATTCATATGCATAAACATGTAAGGATACTTCTGCACCGGCTAGCCTCTCTCGTGAAGCTATTCCTGTTCTACGCACTAAGTGAGAGGTTTTAAACTTTTATCATTAGTAGAAATAGCGGCTAAAGTAAATAAATCACTTTACCTAAGCTGGGTACAGGCAACAGCATTTTTCGCGTTTAGGGTCACATCGAAGCGACACCTTCCGCAGCGTGCTAATTTTGTTTATTTCACTCTTGGCAGCATACATCCGTATGCGATTAAACGGATTAACACATTGAAATAAAAACGAACAACTTAGATGATAAAAAAACTGCCTGCTCCGCTCGTTCATTCGCAGCGGAGTCTTCAGTCAATCATTACTCCACGTTGGTCTGCACAAAACGTGGGGATGAAAAATGAAGAGGAGGAGGGAGACAATTGCGCAGAAATCGGATTCCGCATTGGGCGATATTTAGATGGAAAGACGAGTATCCTTCCTTGGTGTGAATCCAAGAGGCGAGAGTAACAAACGTGTGTAGACATACCGCATGGATGACCTAGAGGAGTAGGCCTTACTGCAGTACCGGCAGGAGTAGGTTCTAGGTCTTGGCAATGCACTAGTCGATAGGTTGAGAGGCTGCAGTGCCCTCTCTTGCTTTGTGGAAGAAGATTCCTGTTTCGGTTTAGAGAGACCCAGTAGATTTTCAATGGAGAAAGCGGTAGCGTTAGGGGAAAGCGGAGGGCAGAAGGTAGAAGTGAAGGAGAAAGTGGTGGAATCGGATGCCAAACTCCCCAGACCACTGTCTCTACTTCTTGAAGGTATACTGGAGCAACTCGAAGCGTTGCGTGGAGTCGAATGGACCTGGGGTGGTACTGCGAACACAAAGGTTAAATTCCTATCGAACTCCTATCGTCCCATCTCATTTCACTTCTGTCTATTGCCCATTAACACCCCCCACACTGCATTGATCTCTACGTTCTTGATTCCACTTCAGTAATAAAACAAGAATGAAGAAGCCCATCACAAAACTCTCAAATGTTCATGAAATCGAAGTAATGCTTTTAAACCTCATTATCATTTCCTTTGCCCATCTCTTTACTTACTAAAGAAATCAAACTCTGCGTTTTACACCGGTGCCCATGAATAAAGGCATGGTTTCAACTTCGTCCATCCTCTTAACTTTTGCGTGCTAACTTCCATCATGAGTGCATAAAGTCAAATTTTTGGTTATTTTAAATGTAGAGAACATTTTAAAATAAGTTACGTACACTTTTCTAGTAGCAGAGGAGTTGAATTGTACCACTGTGGACCGGAAGAGGTGGAGACAGAGGTGGAAGTGATGAAGGAAGTCATTTGGCTTTCCATTTTCAGTCTGAGTATGAGTGGGTTGGAAGCAAAACAGTGGTTTATATACCATTCTACCCTTCCCTTAACCCCCTCCTACTAACAGCCTCATTAGAGATAGCATCGTATCTAATATCACTTTGGAGGGTGGAAGGGGGAGGCAGCGAAGTCAATTCTTTCGTTTCGCTTATTGGTTTGAGTCTCCCCACCTGCGCTCACACCTCCGTAACTATGACCCAATCGAAGTGGTGACCTGTCAAGTAGGGGGGCAGGCGGAAGGGTTAAAATCCCATAGTTGCTCCGATTGTTCATTTGAGCAAATATTAAACAGCAATTAAATCTCATCCAAAAGGGCGGGAAGCATTGGGAATAAATAACACTTTATAGGGAAGATATTGAGAAGTGTTTCTGTTCTGATGTTTAATAAGGAAAGGACTGATAGTAGTAAGCTTTGAAATCGAGCTGCTAGTCGAGTTTCCCCTTAATTCTATTCAGCTAAAGGAATTATTCGAACAAGAGGCTTGAAGTACTTTAAAATTTCATGATGCTTCATTTAAGGTTGGGAAGTTAATTCCGTTGTTTAGTACAGTCATTGATTCCACTAGGGATATTGCGGCTTCTCAGACTAGTTGTGACCGACAATAAAAGTTCACCGCCTTCAGTTAATTCGATAAAAATGCCACACGGGATTGCTAGGTCTTCATCAAGAAATTCATAGCGAGTAGTTCTGTCTGAAGTTCACCAAACACGTATCCACGTCCTTCGTGGTTGAGGTGGTGCCTCAGAATTGTGGCTTAGTCAGTGGGCCTGCGCTAGGGGATAATTAGTGCTATGATCGTGCGCTTAACTAATGCAGGAATACAAGTTAGTTAGTAAAAGAAGTGAGGAGGAACTGTAAACATTGGCAAATTATTGTCACTTGGTAATGTGTGTGAGTAGGACTTACTCCCAACTTTCACTACAATTTTCTCGGTTTTTTGTTGATGCAAACGTTAATCGCGGATGAGTTTCGATACCGAAACGTACTTTTGCACTCCAATCGAGGGTAAATGGTCTTCCTGGAGGTGACGCATCCTTAAGCGATTCACCTCTGGAAGCAATTTGTTTCAACTACTTCTGCGCGATAGATTCTACTGCTATACCGCCTCCAAATACTATACAACAACTATGACAACTACAGCTTCCATACTTAGATAAATTTGGGTTGTAAAGAATTAAATCGAGGACTTAAATAAGGCGCTTTTTTCTTACGCAGATTAAGAGGAAAATGGTAGAGAGAACAATGAAGAGGGGCGACGGATTCACGCATAATTATGCTTTGTACTGGATGTGAACAGCTTCATGCACCATTCCATCAAATCACCAAGAACCGCACCAACATTTCCGCTAACCTGATACAAAGAAGTAGGCAGTTGTACTGTAATACTATGGTCGCCTAACTCTTGGTTTTAGTAATGGGCTAGTTAGGGGCTCTGCCGGGCGGCCTGGCCTCCAGCCTACGTCAGTCGTCCCCCAGTCCTGCCCTATGTGAAATAGATATTTTCCTCCCCTGGTATTATGTATTCTTTCGTAGTCAAGGCAGTCTCGTGGCTCTATATTATTGCTTTCCAATCATCTGAAAATGTTAACTACTGCATTTAATGTAATTTGCTGAAGGAATGACCTCTTTTTATTCGTTCATTTATTTTGGGATACATTGAAAAATATTTTAAACAGAAGTCGAAATGGGAGATGCTTGCAGCATTATCTAATCATTAGCAAACCTGAGAGGAATGTATGGTGTCATATTCGCGGGAAGAATCACGAAAGCTTACAAGCCGTTTAAAGAGATCTGACTGTATTATAGGAAAAAAACATTCATATGTAATTAGTAAGGTTTCGGCAGTATCAATAATCCATTCCTCCGATAGATTGACACTCACAATCTCCACTGTTTTGACTTAAAAACGCTTATATATTCCGAAATCCCGTCTTTCCGATGCTCCTCCCCATGAACTTCATCTAGTCAAGTGATTAATTCCACCAATGGGAATCTGAGATGTAACCTTTATTAAATAATGCAAGCGATAGACTTTCAGCTCTATCATGTTCATCGAGCCTCATATCTATCAATAAGAATAACTTAGGTTTTATTTATTATTTCCTCATTTATACACAATTAATGCAACCGTTTCAGAACCCAGGTAAACTTTCAGAGATAAAGTATAGCTCCCAGCTCCCAGTTCGTGTCAAATGTGGCGACGAAGCTAGTTCGTCAGCTTGTTCTATGTCATCTGTGTTACCACGTGATGTTTTAATGGTCATGCTGAGGACATACCGGTTCCGGTGACGTATGGCCTCATTGTTAATCCGTACCACAAGCCACAAAGATTCAACTGCGTGACCATTCCAGGCCTATCCGATTTGTACAGCGTTCATTTTTAGAAATGGGCATAACTTCCTTAGACTTCAATAGCATCGAGAAGGCTTCCATCCCATAAAAATCACCAAAGGGATTCAGCTTAAGTAAAATATCTCGGATGCGGTGGTTGCGGCCTTATCTTCAGTCTCAATCTTGGTACTGACCCAACTTCTGAAGATGGCTGACCAACCGGCACACCACCTGCACGCCACAATTTTTAGCTATGGCTCTTTCTCCTCCCCTTCACTAGGGTAGAGATGACATGACTTTACACGACCCCTACAATAAACAAAGGGAAGAGATACCCAAATGGAGACGCAATAGGCGCCATTAAGGTCCCCAATTTAAGTTGCATTTTGTTGTTGTTGGAATACTGTTACCTCGTATTTGCAGTATCTTACTTAGTTGTTTCCACCTTCTTGGTTAGCGCCTCGCTTTGGTTTTACACATGGCCTGCGTTTGCATGATGAACGCCTTAGAGAACACAGGATTAGGAGGATTGGTTAGTTATTTGGTTAACTGTTGCTCGAAATAGACTGAGCACGACCAGATGTAGTGTCCGAACAGACGTCAAATAAACAGGCAGCAGAGGGATGATACAGTACTCCCATTTACGTGTCCGAACCCAAGTCCACAGAACCAAACATTTCGTTGACGCTACCTTGGTTATAAACTTTTCATTCCCATATTTTGTGACCCGAGAACTCAGATGGCTAAGCAAATAATGGAATTGTTAGCAGGCTGTGGTCGATCAACCTCATCAGATATGTTTTGTGTAAGATCACCCACTTGTCAAAAGCATTCATCTTCACCAGCGTGACGTGCCTTATCGCGTTTAATCGAGCAGCTTCTCGCAGGTGTAGGGGTGGTGCCTTCAATTCAGATGGGGGCTAAACGAGAGAGGGTCTAACAGGGGCCTTGGGGGAGTGGTGACAGTTCACATAGTAATTCTTAAAGGATTGGAAACACTACTGTTCTGTAATTTAAAGGGCAACACTACAAGTTAAGACAAATTACAATTTCTATTTAGCTGGAAGAAATAATACCGCTTTATATTTGGTGATACTGGTGCAAATTGTAACGCTTCTTTTACATTTAGGCAATCGGTAACATTTCTTATACTTTGGCTGAGAAGTGTTAATGATAAAGATTTTGTTTAAGATCTACACGAATTTACAAATTATAAAAGGAATTTTGCCCTATACGTTTTCGAGTTGATTTGGACAGGCGCATGACTCCTCCAGATAATAATGCAATGTCTACAAATAAAACTCTGGGAAACAATGAAATGGAACTGCTACAGAAACCACAACTCCGTGCTTCCACATCAGGCGTACGGAATCAAAGCTGTTCGATTAAGAACATAAGTTAAGACGATCATAAGTATTAGCAAATTTTCGGTAAAACGATGCATTTTAAAATCCTGAATAGCCTTCCCGAAATCAAAATTTCTAATTTCCAAACGGGTTGCCACGTAAGTTAGTAGACATGGAAAACACGAGCATAGAGAGCATCTAAATTGGTCAGGTATGCATATTACGCAATACACCTTAGCCTTGGAGCAATTTGGAACGTAGATTGGATACTAATTTTAAAATGGCATCAACTTGTTTACTTGACATTGTGCTAATACACTGTCAATTAACAACCGTTAAATGTCGGCACACAAGGATAGCACCTAAACACCTAGCATTATTGAACAAAGAAACCGAAACTATTGTATTACTTTAGTTGTTTTACTCCCAATTTACGTAACGCATCACTTAGTCGCTCCGCCATTGTAATTTCACTTGGCGGCGTGCCCTTGAGCTACGCCAGTAGTCTCCAGCCCCTACTGTCCCACGATAATGCATATTCCGGACTAACTGAAGGCGAACCCTATCTTGAAGGACAGCTGTTCTGATTTCTATTGCTGAGTGATAAACCTCAACGCAACGGAAGACGTGTGTATGCTGCGAGTGGGCGAATATGTGACCACCCCTAGCAGAAGGTCTGCAAATGTCGTCTAGCATCAGCAACCACCTTAGTCTCGTGTTTTACAGAAAAACTATTAACAACTGAAGCGACATTAGCCATGAAACACCCGGAAAAGCTACGTTGCAGAGTTTCCCTATCGTTCCCGTATGAATATGTTGGTAATGCCGAATTGAACCTAGGTAGATATAGGACGGCAGCGCTTGGTTCTTGGGTGTTTGCCTTACACCATGGACTAATTGAGATGATTGACGTGGGAAGTTGAGCATGGGGTGTCACTCGCGTGACAGGTGCGTCCAGGGTATTAATGAATTCAGTTGAGGTATAATTAAGATGCAAAGGCAATCGAAATGTGTACTTCCTTTTGTAATACCCATGACCTTCTGCTGCATATCTTTCATATCTTACTTAAGCATAGAAAAACGTTTGTAAATGGCAGAAACCAAAAACCTTATAATTACCTTTCTTCCCCCCATGGTCTAACTCACTCAATCACTGTAGCAACCACTGCCTAAAATGGTTGTACCTGAGAAACACACATTGGCCCAATTGTGGTCAGGACCACTTCAAAACAACAATGGGAGAAAACCATCCTCTCGAATTGATTATACGACAATAAGGTATTCAAATTTGCCTTATCCTGCCTTTAACTTTCCTAGTGTATTCAACACAGTTCCCTCCAGAAGTCCATTCAGAAAGTTAGCTTCCCACTGGGAACCTTAGCAAATTTATTTACGACGGAGTGATATAGTTAAGCTTGTTTAACAAAACATTTAAAATTATCCTGCCAGTCGCAGATATGCTGTTTGCAAGGTGAATTAATCAACCAGTTAATCAAAAGTCGTTACTGTAATTTGGGTTGGAGCAATGGGAACTCCGGCCCTAATGAGTGGGACTTATTTGATAAATTTCGAGATATTTAGTACTTCTTTTTTTCGAGTAAAACCGTCTTACTTGCTGAAACCTATGAAAAGCAGATAAGCCTGCTCACTTCAGAACGATTACTTAAATCTACCTGCTGAATGAGCACGTAGTACGATACTGTTTTGTTTATTCGAGGAGTAGGGGCACCACCATAGCGTAGGGTGGGTATTTTGTGCAACAACAGGACATCCTAGACAGGTCTCTTCGCATTTTCCCCTAGACAGACTGAAATTCCTCAAGCTCCTACTATAGTAAATGTTTACTTGAATGTACCGTTTAGAGCAGAAGTGGTCAGTGTATTCGAGGTGACGCTATCGGTCCCTGGGAGGGAACCGATCTCTGAATGCATGCAACCGTGGTCCACTGTACCCTTTTTATAATGCTGAGCAATGAGGGATGTCCTCATCTAAGCCGCCTTCTTGTTCCGAGGATATGAAAGCAAGGGTGGAAGAGGGGAACACTGAATGCATTACACCTACATCCAACAGCATTCCTCATATCAACAGTACCGAAGTCCACTTTTCTTTAGATTTGCGTTTTTTAAATTAAAAAAATTCAAACGGAGTTAAAGCCACCCAGGGGAGCTTCAATTATCTGTACTTCATGATCTTATTAACAACTAAAGAGCCATGATGTTTTCACTACATCCCCTCACAGCTGACAAAATCTGAGAACAAAAGTGTTTATTCATTTGGCCTCCAACTTGTTTGGCGATCCTAATTCGGATTTCGAAAGATGAGACGCATTCCGTACTGCTTAATTTACATTCCTGGAGCAGGGAGGAGTATCCGATCCGATCATCTACTCTAAACTTGTTTTGCATCTGAGGCCACTCACTGACGCTGTCAGTTCTCTCATGTGTCAACTTAGGCGTTACATTTTGCACGGACGACAGCTTGTCCCCATTCCAAAAGTACAGGGACTGAAAAACAAGAGTAAACAGCGGTGAAAGCATTGCTCGGTTTTCTTCATAATGTATCAACCTAAGTAAAAATGGTAACGGCCCCAGAACACATTGGTCAAGGGAAATGCTTGACCAATCAGCACTTGATACGCTCAGTAGAGGCGTAAACGCAATATTTGGTGTTCAAAGCGAGCTACAGTAAAATTAGGGCAGTTTGACCTTTGGCTCCTTCGAGAAATGCATCACAGCAACAGACCTGTCGTTATCTTTTACCAGGTAGTGTAGGATGGGTTTGATGATGTATGCGCCATGAATTATTACTAACCCTATTTAACCAAGGGATCTCTTCCTTGGGATGGAAGTCAGGAGGGATCGGCTGTAGATAGACTGTACAACCGTTCTATGTGAATGACTGCTGAAAACACTGCCAACCTTTGCTACTAAACTGCGAAATTTAATTTCCCTAACAGAATGAAATGTAACATTTCCCAGGTGGGAAAGGTTCAAAGCACAATAGTTAATTATTGTGCTTATAACACCTCTGCCCTTTGAGGTAGTCTTCAAATGACACGGTAAGCCGTAAGTTCAACGGGAACTACCAGAGGATTGACACATCCATCACCTCAAAGCATTTATTCAATGCGAAACCCCTTTGCATGTCAAACTCCAGTTGATCGAGGCATTCATATTTGGAGTGCCTACTTGGATAACCTATGAAGACGCTGGGGAGTGTATATCAGCATTTCCGTGAACAGGATTCCATCTAGGCGTGAGCACATCCCGAGTAGCAATTTGTTTATTCACCAAGCCTCAGCCCTTTTGATCGTCGTTGATAATCTAAAAAGTCCAAAGTTCCGAGCCTAAGACGTTGTATCTACCCTAGATTTATTCATGCGATAGCAAATCTAACGTTCAACCGCGTAGCTTCCTGCAAGTTAATCAAAAACAGAAAAAAAAACTAGCTTCGATGAGTATAACCAAGAATGGAAGCGCCTTCAAGTGAACTAAACCCACCACTTCTCACCAGAAGAGTTCGACGCTATTGCACAGACAGAGAAGGAGGTCGACGCATCCTATGCATGACTTTACTATGAAGGAAACAATCCTCCGTACCGACCAAAAAATTTCACTGACAAACCAGACTATCCTACAAATTTCCAAGTCCTCTAGCATATTCACTACCAGGCTCCCACACAAAAATCCACCAACACAACTCATTGTCCTAAAATAACATCAATTGTTCGTCTCCCCTTTCAAGGTAATTCTTCCTCCTTTAAACAACCGTGTCATGCATAGACTTCGGCAAGGGAATTGAGGTGTCGCATATTGCTCTGAAAGCGCGGGTGCAACCGTGCAAGGACCGAAAAGAATCCAAATTTCCGCAACTTCCCAACTAATTCAAACCGAACTACGTCAGTTTCCTACAGCTGTGAGTTTTTAACCACCACCACTACCAGTGACCACCTGATGCGAAAAGTCGCCGTACGGACCCGAAGCCGGGAGGCATGTGTTGATGCAAATCTACGCTCAAATTCAGCTTCCTTCCAACATTTTCAGCTGCCATTCTTACAGTCATGTACCTTCATCCACAAAACTATCTTCCTCGTAGATACGATGGCAGCTTTCTAAACCAATCGCGTCAATACAGATCCAAAAGAACCTCACTGATCGTACACACAAGTGAAGTCGTGGCTACGACAGAGCGCGAACCATCAACGAGAAAAACAACGCCAAAGCCACACAGACAATCTCAGCTACAAAGGTGACTGACTCACCAGTCAAGCTCAGGGATGACTGCTAACCACCTCAAAAAATTTTAACATACCTTCCCCTTGGAAGTCTTTGAAACACCTAAATTCACTAACAAAACACTTTCCTGTTAGGTGAGCAAATGCACCGCTCATTTGTAAAAGCAATAGCATTACACAAATGGTCAATTGTATTAAGAATATGGGGAACCAAAAGAGTTCCAGCTGGCGAGTGACGAGGGCAGCAAGAGATAAAGGCACATCATTGCTCGATGAGTGGGGGTGGGAAAAGGTCCTGGAAATCTGTCGGCTGATCATGGTTGAAACCATGAGACTAAACGACGAAGTGAACACAAATGTGCCCATAGCAAAAACTGCAGTAGGGAGAACTCAAACTGCGAGGCTACTAGAGGGGAAAATTGGGGAGGAAAGGAAGGAATGGAGATGAGGTAAACCGGCGAGAAAGACGTCAACAGGTGCAGCTGTATCAACCATCTATTAATGCCTGAGAACGATTTTTAATATCATAATCCAAACAAGAGGAAATGAATACACATAATGGCAGGAAATGAAGGGAAAGGCCGTGGAAATGAAAGGGAAGAATTAAGTTAATCGGATGAAGGAGGGCTATTGCGGCTGCATTCCCAAGGAGCACCGACCACCATAAAATCACCCTGACTGGGTGAACCTCGAGGGTCCGCCTTTTGTGAAACGTTGGAGCCCTGGATTTGAGCACACTAGACAAAAAGCCGGTTATCCATTTAAGAAAACACTTACAATATCATTGGCTTTGTTGATCAATTCATTGCAAGCTTCATCTACGTTATCAGGATAGCCCATGACGAGGACGACCTCAGCTGCTTCTCCGTTAGCTCCACGGGGTGGGAACTCCACATCAACATCGTACAACTCCTCCAAACGACGAATGTTATAGTGGCGGGATCCAATCAAACGCGCGTGAGCCTGATCGAGAAAGAAAGCATTATAGAGAGGAAGCTAGTATTTAAAGAGAGAACGTAGAAAGGGGTAAACGCTCACCTCCGAAGGAATGTGAAGCTCAATGCACGTGAAAGAAGAAAACTTTTCCAGCAATTTTTCCAGCTCACCACGAGCCGACTTGACTTTCTCCTTGTAGCCTTGGAGTATCAGAGGGATATTAACAGAGCTTACAAGACGGTAACCAGCATAGCGCCCCCCGTCCACCAAGTTGTTGGAGGTACTAGGTCCCTCTGCTGGCACATCTCCACCAGTGGTTGTTTCCGAACCTATCAGCGTAGACGTAGCACCTGAAGAGGCGGTGGTAGTAGTGGCAGCGGGACGACCACGCGTGAAGATGGCCACACCATACTGCCTCAACAGCCGCTCCTTTTCCCCAGATATGATCCGGCTTAGGTAACGCTCCTCAATGTTCAGGATATCCTCGTAGTTTCGTGCCTCCCAGTCGGCCTTCTCGGCTTGCAGCTGAGCCTCAAGAGCAGCCAACTCAGCTTTACAGGCTTCAACAGCATCTGGAATGCCACGAATGATGATCCGATCGGCACCTCGCGGAATCCTTGGCGGAACGCTAATGGAAACCTACCGAAGCAAAAGGCGATGACTGTTAAACGTATACCAGGGCAAAACCGAGTCAAAACGAGCAGAAGGCAGATATACATTGAATTTGCTTCGAAGAGCATTCAATCTTGTCTTGGGAGATATTTCCCCATTTTCGGGCTGATGATTAGGTAAAATGTTGGTGCGAGAACTTTCGTGCTGAAGGTGTCCACCACCGCGTTGAGGAGCCCTCTGTCCTCGGCGAGTGGAAAGCTGTTGTTGTTGTTGTTGTTGTGGAGGTTGTTCAACCATAAAGAGTTTGCCGTAGAACTCGCGTGGAAAAGCAACCTCCTGCGAGACTGGCAGCAGTGAAAGAATTTCATTCTTCAAAACATTAGCAATTCTCTCTGCAGTGCCGGTGAGAACAATATGGCCGTGTAGGAGCCGTTCACCTTCACCCTCTCGGAAACCGTCTATGCAGTGATGCAAAAACGACCTAAGCTTGTATTCCAAACTAAGTTAGAACTTATAAATGAGTAAATCGAGGATAAATGAAATTACCTCTATTAAGCTGTAAGCTGATCAAGACTTTATGATGCTTCTGGATATCAGGAATAGTTGAACGAAGTCGACTGAGAACCTGGAAATGGTCAACCTCAGTAACCGGGTGTTTGACCACCGTTTGGTTCTTGATGTCTTCGATCATACCCATTATACACTGCTGTGCATCCTACGAGTAGAATTAATAAATCATAACAAATGACAAAGGCAAGTAAACTAAATCCAAAATGATCCGAAAAGACTAGCTTTACCTCAACACAGCCCTTTGGACCGAAAATACGAATTGTGGTATCTACATTCTCGCTAGAAGGTGGATGTCCATTCCCACTCTGATCAACGCGACGACTAAAGGGGGAGTTGGATGATTTCGGGAAGATAACTTTAACACGATCCAATTCCGGGTAGTGAAAAGCGCTTCGATAGATCCAAAGATCATTAACAACAGAGGGTTCACATTTTACGGTAACATCCGTTTCGTCCTCCTGAAAGTTGAAATTCAGGTTAACTCGGATAACACTAACATTCACGATGTAACTACTTATGACCACATCGTTTTAATAGAGTAAATGGCTGCTCAGAATGAATAGCCTCACGGCAAAAAAATATGAATAAGATATTCGAAATGGGAAAAAAGATCAATGCAAATGAGTGAATTGCTGGGGGAATTCCAAATTGAACACTGGGACTGCAAAACATCAAGACCATTACCATGTTCTTTACGGTCTTTTCCAAATCTTCTACCGCCTTCACCACGGCTTCCTTCTCACCAATGATGTGGATCGCAGAGGCACGGGTGGGATCGCCCTCTAAACGATCCGGGAAGAGCACCTCAACGTTGTGTTTTTCACGGAACTTCTTCAACGTGGCACCACCACGACCGATCAACTGGCCGTGAAACTTTGGGTTCGCGAATACCACCGACTACAAAATACGAGTAAATTTAGAAAGTACACATGTACGAATGAGTGGAAAACAATGACAACTATGAAAAATACCTCAGTACAGCGTTCGAGCATCTTCGCGCACATTGAATCGATAAGAGCTTTGGTCTTTTCCAAAGCCTCCGGTGGGCCCGAAATGGTCAGCTGACGAGGGTGGGCGGGATCCGTCTTCAGTTGAACACCCTCGCATTGCTCACGGATGGATCGCAGACGAGCTCCGGGAGTGGTCGAGTCTCCAGGCTGTTTAGAAAGCATCAGTGTGGGTAGAGTAATGACGGTTTCTTGTATGTTTGCCTAAAAAAGCAACAATAAGAATGAAAAACCGATTTGACGGGTAATGCGACTACAAAAAGCCTCAGACGAAGCGGAAATGCTAATAGCAACGAAAAATGGATGACGAAATTAGAGTCAGCTATGCCATCACTATCAGTACCATGGACTTCTGTAATTTTTCAAGGCGTGTGACGGCAGCATCAACGCCTTCTTGACGACCGATAATACTAACGGGCTGGGAACCATCATCAGACGGAGGAAAATAGTGGATGCGAGTCCGCGTCTCTTTCAGGAGATTGACAATTGTTGCGCCCAAAATGCGCGGTAAGCAGTCCTTGAAAATACGAAACTATAAAGAGAGTAATTGGCATTTGGACAGACAAGAAGGAAGAAGTGACATAAAATCAACAAGCAAATTTCACCTCCTGTTCATAATTTTCCTCTGTGATTTGCTTCACCAGTTTGTTCAATTTCTCTGCAGCAGAATCGACTTTATCTCGGACCCCGCAGAGCTGCAACACGTAGTCGGTGGTGGTAGAAGTCGCATTACTGGTGGATGTACCGTGACGTTTCTTCCCACCACCAGCTTGCTGAGGCCACCGAATTTCAACTTCTGGGAAAGCCTCTTCAATCGGACGAATCGGAGGAGGATTACCAGATCGCAACAAATTTTGAATACGAGGTTCGACTATCACATCTTTAATCTTCTCGTTCTCCTAAAAAACACCAATACTTTTCCAACAAAAATATTCTTAATCCAGACAGCGCAAAGCAGGTATCATTAGTACTGATAATAAGGGAATGATAACCCGATATCGCACCTTAAAACGCAAAAATATCTCAACAATGCAATATCGCAGCAAGATGATTGCTTACCCACTTCCTAACAAGTTTACTGATCTCCTCCTTCACAATTTCAACAGAGTGCTGTTCACCCTCAATAAAGATGTTGAACTCATTCGCTGCCTTTCCGCAATCTGCAGCAGTTGGAAACCAAACACTCAAGTGATGGGATCGAATGTACCGACTTAAACTATCGGGCCCGTTTCCCAGCAGCTTAGAATGGTATTTAGGATCCACCTTTACGAAATCCAAATGGTGTGAGGCAGTAAGCTCAGCGACCCGTGTGTTTAGGCGATCAACAACTACTGAAACCTCTTCTGGAGGTCCTTCGACCGTTATCTTGTCCTCACCATTTGGGAACTCGACCCGAACCTACACCAAAAATCAGCTTTACCGACAGCACAAAAGAAGCTACTTAAAATATGAAAAGCCAATGAATCAATATTGGACCTACAGCCGCATAACCGTCTAGAATAGAGGCCAAAGCGTTTCCTTTCTTTCCAATCAGAAGCTTGTGAAGACGCTGAGGAGCGACAATTCCTTCGGTAGTAGAACTGGAGGCACGCTTAAAAATCAAGGTCGTGGCCAGTCCAAGGTCTTCGGGGTAGCCGCGAAGTATGAACTCCTCACTCTCGGGATCTTCTGAAGGTTCGACTACAACACCTGTTTTGTCGAAAATCTCCTGCAGACCACTTCTACGATGTCCAATAACAAGGCGATGCTTGTCACGTTGTACCAAACAGGGGATTGTGGTGCAGCGCTCCTCACGAGCCTTATAAATATTATTGATTTCGGAAACCGCTTTTGCGACTTCACTTTTTTTTCCTGACACCTTAATTTCACAGCCAGGCTTCTTTAGTAACGGAATAGATATTTTTGTACCCGTCTTCTCCATAATTTCATTTAAGGTGCGGTTAAAACTATAGGAAATAAAAGCATAGGAATGAACGACAAAGTGGATTAACAATTTAAAACAACCGATAAAGTGGGGGAATCAACGTAGATACTGTGCTTACGGCCCACAAATAAATGGGTGGTAAACCTTGGGTATGGCCAATTTTTCTTCAGCGTGTTGAGATTGATATTCAACAATACGAAGAATTTCTCGCTCCGCATCATTAAGTTTGTCAGGAGAACCAACGATCACAACTTCACTTGATTTCGAAGATGGAGGAGGTACGCATATTTTGGTAAGCGTGCTAGATTCGAGCTCCCGTTTTCTCTGACCGCCAAAACCGATGAGAAATCGATGGAATTCAGGTGGGATTTTAACTACCCTTTGCGCCTAAGTGCGAACAGCCATTGTCAAGCCAATAATAATGCACACACCTGTTGCTGCAAATCCTGAATTACCATCAGTTTGGCCTTCGCAACTTGCGCTGCAGGACCCGAAATGAGGACATTTAGAGAGTTGTTCTTTGAGTTTGTTAATTCAATTTTAACTCCGAGACTTTTCCCTATGGCAGCACAGACGCGTGACTGCTCTGACAATACGGACTCGTCCGTCGATTGATACCTCCTCTCGTCAAGAGGTATTTTAACAACCTAAATGTCAGACAGGCATATATTAAGTACCTCTATAGAATCAGCAGGTTTATATGGGGTAAGTCCCTCAGCAACGGGTCTCTGAGACGTCCCTGCAGGTGGTAGTGCAGGAAAAACATCATCATACAGGGGAGGTAAGCTGGTTGGGGTCGTGTTAGCGACTTCTATCATCGCACTGCAAAACACCCCAACACCGCGAAGACAAAAGTGCTGTGACGTGAGTAACGCATTATAACAAAGCCAATCGAACATTTCCAACAAAACAATTTTTTTAAAATAGTAAACAACCATAAATTTTACAAAAAAGCACAGATCAGTTTTATTACAGTTTGGCTGTGCGCACCTAGGCACTTAATTCGCACATTACAAAAAGAAGATTAGGAGCGTAACATAATTTACCATTGAATTCCTAAAGCTTATTTTCGGGCCAAAAAAATAACATCGCATGCCTATATTAACCATTTTTACATGCGGCACTTGAAAACAGCTTAAATTAGCCCTACTTCTTAATTCATAATTTTGACAATTCTCCCGAATTATTTTTAAGGTGAAAAGTCAAACAATTGCGCTTGTAAAGTTTAAATACTTCCTCCAAAACAAAAGAAGACGTAATAACTTGACAGAGCAAATGTATGTTCAGCACAGAGCAATACCGCCAATACCGAGAGATAAACCATTGTATTACACGCTCAGTCTGAAAAGTACCGATTAAATTTTTTACTGGTTTGGGTCTATTTCATGTGTCAAACTACATGCCTAAGTCCCTAGTAAAATTTGGAACGAAGGCTTATCTGTTGTGTTTTTCACTGCATTAGCCTCATCTACATGTCTAATTTTTGCCGCAAACCTCGTTCAATAATCTGTGCAAAAAAGAATAGTTAGTTGGCTAGTGTACCCACGTCTGTATCGTAGAACTGTATTGTTTGATCGGTGTTGTTACTTATGTACATTGTTGATTAATAAGTACAACTGCTACCCACAGCGATTTTCTTTATCCCTTGACGTCCCCCACTGCAACTGATTCTGAATTTTTCTGAGCCAATCAAATAAATTGTCATATTTATGCATTTTAACAATCTGTGTGGATTTATCAAGCATCGTCGATAGGCCATGGGTATGGAAGCCCTGATTGGCTGGTTTATGTCCCAGGCATACCGTTCGGGTGCAGCCTTTTTCGGAAACGGCCTCTTTGGATTAAAAGGCTAGGATGACGTTGTATGCCACTTGGGAGGATTTCGCGAAGGACGCGGAAATGCTTTACAGTAAGGACCCCATGGGAGTAGGTGGCGCTTTGATTGGCTCATTTTCAACTATCAGTTTAGATTAGTTACCAAATATCGGCACAAGGACCAGAAATTAGTGGTTAAGGCTTCTGACAATCAGAATGTAGATCCGAAATTCTTTCATGAGTTCTAGACACTCAAATACGTCGCAGAACTGGCCCAAGATGTCAAGAAGTACGAGAGGTTCACCACTTTACTCATGAGACACATGTCCTCAAAGTAGGCTTCCCTGAATGTTCTAAATAAAATTTGTACAAAGCTGATCGACGCCTCTTTCTGCCTACTTGTCAACAACAGATCCCGCTTAGTTAGAGTGCATCGGCCTCTGATCGACATTCTTCGAAGAACATCACGGATTAGTAAACCTCAGAACCTTCTTTCGAATCTAGTTCGAGCATGAACCAAAGACAGAGAAGAACCCCGTACTTAGGTGGTCTAAAGTCGCAGCATGATTGTCGCCCACGGCACCGGCCGCTCGACTAGCTCAAATAGCAACCATCCAGCAGGTCCCACCCTTGGGTCATTTGGCATCTCAGGGTCACAGACATCAAACAAGAATCATTATTCCTGGCGAATGGCCACGCCACCTGAGACGTTTGGGCAATGGAAGGCTCGATTATGTTGCTGGATCCTGTGTTCAGGGAAGCGTCTGTACAGATATGAGAAGGGTTGGCATTAATTCAGACGATAAGAACCGCATTCACGCAGCCCTCGTTCTCGGGATTGTTCGTCACTTGAGCGTATTTGCCCCACACGACCTTGCCACCAGGAGTTACCAAACCAAGGTCGCTCACATTCACCTGGAACGTACAGTAAATAGCAGATTAGCAATCTGATCGGAAGTTCCTCACGGCAAGAGTGTTCCGTCTCACTTGCCTCGATGATGGTTCCCTTCGTTATCACCCCAAGACTCGTGTATAAAGGAGAACTGGGATTCTTTTTTACGCCAATGATGGGCAAACAAAAGGTGGATTTCAATTCGGGATGGGTAACGTTGGCTCGCTTGGCACGTAACGCCATGGGACGGATAAAACGTTCAAACTTCGGTGGCTTTCTTGTAAAATTGTCACCAACGTAACACATCTTGGTCACCATACGCTTCCAAGCCTTCCGTTTTGATTTCCCCGATTTCACCACCCTGAATGCCTCAGCTTCTGACACCGTGCGAACCTTCGGCAAGGGAACTTGCCATTTGCCCTACAGGTAGGTATGAGCGCAAAAACTGAGCAAAATTCAGAAATGCAAGAAGTCCGTCGATAGAGGCATAAATCATAGGGCAAATGAGACTTACAGCCTTCTCAGCACGTTTTTGCTTGACTGTATTTGAAAGGACCTTAGATATATTTTGCTCTTCGCGATCAAGCAAAAATACAGGCTTTTCGCCCAGTCCACCTGCTTCGCCTGCCTTCTGCTTTACATTTCTCATTTCATGCATGCGAATCGTTTTCCTCATTTGAACCTTCTCCTTAAAGCGTTCCTTATTTGCAATCTTTGCCTTCAGGCCACGCAATTTTCTCGCCTTTTGCGCTCTCTCGTGAGGCTCGCGAGCCTCTTTCTTCCGTCTTTAAATAGAATTAATACTCTTTAAACAACAATATAACAAATAGGCCCGCTAACATTCAAAAATTTGGCGTGTGCATGACAGTATTTTCTTGTAAAAATATACGTCAGAGAGGGACCTACTTTCTCTCAAAGTAGTCGAGTCTGTAACCATGGCGTTTACGATGCAACTCAATATGCTCGTTTTGCGGCTACAGCATCTTTTACTAGGAAAGTGAACGACATACCATGTCAATCCAGTTTTAGACCACCCGGTCATCAAAGATGTAACTAAACAAGAGGCCAGCCCTTCGGCAGCTCACACGATTTTTTTAAAATTTAGAAAACGACAGTATCCGGTCATAGATGAATTTTTAAAATAGGTCTTTAGCAATTTAAGCTACTATTAGGTAAAATCTTTAAAATAGAGGATTCATAAAAGAAAAATTCGTAAAAGTGCATGGAAATAGGAAGAAATAACTAAGTCAAAACAACTACTTATGCTATAATTATATAGAAGCGCACAAACAAGGCATTAACAGCTTTAGATGGCTTAAGTATGTCACATGATTTGCATTGATGGCGAGGATCCAGACTGCTTGCACTCACTTTTCCAATGGTTTTTGCTAATTTTACTAGCAGTTAACATAGCTATATTAAATGACTTTAAGCGGTCTTATAAAAAGTTAAATTACTTCCGCATCTTGCATTAGGGGCGAATGTTATCCCGAGCTTTCCCCCACCAAAATCAAAGGTCGAGTGAAGCCCAAAAGGTTTGCGTCTAAAGCACCCAGAGAGCATCAGTACGCCTTTTTCCCTTCTTGTCACTATCTAGACTTATCTTTAAGCACAAAATACCTAATGCAGACACCAGGTACCTATTCCCCGTTTATGACTTTATGATTCAAACTAGTATCTCAATAGTTTTTAAATCTTGCCATGGTCAATAGGCAAACCAACATGAGATCCATGTTTATTTCCCTTAAAAGTGGTTGCTATTTATTTACTGTAAAATTTCAAGGCTTCTATATTCTTTTATCGAAAACCACTGTAGTATCACGAACCAGCGCACCTTTTTCTGCAGAACAGATGAGTAAATGACTTGAAATATGGAAGTGATTTTACGCTGATAAAAAACGCGCTCTGTGAATATCCTTGTGTGCGACGTAACTGAGGCTATTCTGGACCTTACTTATCAGGACAGTAGACACGTTGTTGGGCATTTTCTACTGAAGTCAACTGTTGAATGTCTCTGTAATAACCTATTCAAGGCCTTGGAGTACCTGTTAGCAGCTTGTTTGCCATCTAACTAAAATCAACTCAAATAAAGGTGAAGAGTTCTCAGAGCCCTTGACTTCGTTTGCTAATGCATCTCCTTAGGCAGTTTCTGGGTCTAGAAGAACAATTATCGTCAAACACATTATAAATATTGATGGGACTAAACTGATCCAGAAATCGCCAAGGCTTGTGTTTTTTTTCCCCCCCACACATCATTAATAGAGGTGACATATTTACGAACGATAGCATAAAACCCACCGTGATAAAGAATGGAGGGGAACGCTCTACTGTACGTAAAGCACAGCAAATAAAAGATTGTAACAATTGATGATACCCTTTTTCCACCCGTTTTCAAGGATTGGATAAATTATTGACGTGGATCAAAGTGTTTCTCAACCTTACTTCCCCAACAGCGATTTTGGTAAGTAGAGATGCCCGAATGGGATAAGGAAGATGACCCCGATTGCTATTCAGCAGACTTTAGCCCTTTCAATAGGCACCTTTGGGGCTCTGCAACGCAGTATGATCTCGATGGCTTTTGTAAAAGGTTGTCAATGGACTACTTCCGAAACACCGTTAAGGCATTTAGACAACATACTAATTTTCTATAAATACATGCACAAATAAAGTAAGAGATTTGATTATTTTATATCTACTACAAGAAGATGCCAGTTTTAAGATAGATTTAAAAAATTACTACTGCACACCATTTCGTCAAATTAAATAGCTGAGACAGAGGACTGCACATAGCAAGCCAGGAAATAGTCAACGCCAACTAGTCAGAGGGCACCTCACACACTTATAGGTTTGGTTGCTTACTAAAGCTTTTGCCAATACTGCAGGTCTGTCGCATAAACCGGCTGAATAACGACCCAACATTTACAACCAAAGAAAAAGCACTGTGAAATTGTAGAAGAACCGAAGCCAATTTTTTTCCCTGCGCCAGTTCTGCCGCCTACTGGATTTGATCCAGCGGCCCAAGCATGTATCCGGGCAGCTGATGCTAGCGGTACAGTTATAGATGAAGTATTCTAACCGAAGGACGAATAAGTATCCAACCTACTGACTAGATGAGGTGGAATTGCACCAATCAGTCGTCACGGTTCGTCACTTTACAGTGTTCACTTTGTGATGGTTTCACAAACCAGACCTGAAAACATTGATATTAGTGCAGTGACCATCTCTTTGAGGGAATCTACCAGGTATCTGTAGGAAAACTCGCAAAATACCGATCGCAATACGGCTTTTGTGCGAGAAGGGTTTCTTCAATCCTTATGCGAACAGAGAGCGAAAGAGAATAAGGTTTTGTCGATACCTAGATTGCGCTGGAGCACCCAAACCTCAGTTGGTAGCGGTGGCTCTTACCCACCTGCAGTAAATTCAAAAGACTACACCCCATGAGGTGTACACTATCTTTATGATCTTGAAATTTTCTGCACAGTTCAGTAAAAACTTAGCCACCGAAATTTGCCTCTTAGCAACTGCGTGCAGATAAAGCAGACACTTTGACTGGAGAAGACGGGATCTACTTTACACCAATCGGAACCTTACGAGTTTCAATCTGGCAACTTTTATTAAGAAACTTAATAGTATAAGTGCAAGCTCGGGTTGGTCATTCTATGGGCAGTGCACGGGTAAAGAGAATCAGCCGCACTTTAATCGGGTCGTCACTCATCAGGGGATTCAAGCCTCAAGATTTTAAGCTATGCTTGGAGCAGTGCTGCTCAGCACGCAGAGCTAAGGTGCGTAGACCTGCCAGTGCTGACAAGTCGAGAGATAGAATTGCCGTCTGATATACTCCTATCGAATCCGAACGCACCGAATCATAATACTCTAGAATACATACCACAAAAGAGTTGGGCGCACTATACCAAAAAGCCGAACATAATTATTGTCGAGAAGGAGACGCATGGAATTGGCCGAAAATTCCACTACCTTTTGAGCAAGGATGCATTCCGCATATGAGCCATTGCATCATTAAAAAGTGAAATATGGGACAAACTAGCGCATACAGAGCAAGTCGAAACGCAAAACCAAAAGAAGCAAGTGCCCCAATTGCGCGTGAATATCCAAATTGGTACCCTACCCTTACATGTAGTGAAAATGAGTTGTGCATGAACCGAATAAAAGTTTGCTTTTCTGAACATCTGCACGTACATGCAAACAGCACAGTAATCTAAAACGAATGGAAGGATGTGACAAGTATATGTCCACAAAAAGGCCATCTTTATCCTGAGCCACCGCCAACAGTTGGAATCACGGAGACGATGGCTTCATCAAGGAGCATAAGTTGTGAAGCAGGTTGGGCGGGCGAGGATGCAGGGGGCACAGCAGAAGGGTTAATTTGAGTTCTAGGAGAGGGTGCCTGAGGCGTAAAGAATTCATCTGAAGAGACGGAATTGGAGTGGGAAGAGTCCTCATTATGGTCCGCCATGCTCAGCCGTTGGAGGCGCAGCGTCTCGCGCCAGTTCGGTTCAAAACCAACGCTATTTTCGTTTGGTGGTGCCCTCGGATCACGGATAAGTTCGACTTTCACGTTGTTATACACACCAGAAGCCAACGATATTTGAGGTCGCGCAGACAAATCCGGTCGTGAGCTACAAGGCGATAAAGTGCATCAGAAAATGAGTTATATAACGCTAGACAGGGAAAAAGAAGCTTACACAGCGTCTTTCTTGAGATTTTCCCTCGATTTTAATGGTTCAGATGGTTTTAGTCTGCGCTCTACTAAAATCCTTGAAGCGAATGGAACACTTACGCAGGGAAGTACAGTAAGAATACGGCCAGGCACTCTTTGTAACACCGAGAGCCCTCAAAGCCGATTCCCGTGAATCAAATTCGACGACAGCACACCTTTCCTTACCAAGAAAACCAATAAGTGATGCCGACTTGATTAGATCTGGTGGTATGGTTTTACCGGGATCGATGATGCGCACAAGTTTGACGTTTAAATTCATCGACTATTTAATAGGGTAAAAAAATGATCATACCTCGAAAAATTCACCAACGGAAAACACAGTTATAATGTCCTTCTCCTTAAAGCGCGTTATGAGTATAGTTCTTGAGTAGATAGATTTGTCCCATTCCGGAAGTGGATGCCTACGTCTTATACGTGTACCTAATATGGCATAAACTTGCATATTTACTACCGTCTTCAGAAACTTCTACTTGGGTTGAGTTTTTTAAAGCCCTTTGAATCGTATCTTCGTCCTTCGTTAGTGATTGAACGCGCCTAAATCCGGCAATTGTAGACAGCTTCACCCAACCCTCTTTATTGGTTTTGACAGATTTCAGGAGGAACTGATCTTTCAATATATTTGCATCGGAGAAGTAGAACTCAATTTGCCGCAGTATCCTGCTTTCAAGGCTGCCGTCGGGGCGGTCTAATGCGGGCTCGTTCACGAACTGGATAATTTTAGGAGCGAATGTGGACGACACATCCTCCGACTGCCTGTCAACCCCTAATACAACTTGAAACACACCATGAACGATAGATCAATTTGTACCAGAATCAGCAGACTCGACCAGAGAACCACGAGACCCATGGCCGAGGCCATCCGAATCGCCCGCAGCCTGCATCACGGCTCAACAGCGACTAACCCTCAGCACTGCGAAATAACTTTTGCCGAAGTTTAACAAAACAAGAAATTGTAATCGATTAAAGGATATACATAAGTAGAAAAAACATTTTTCGAGAAAATTCTTCAAATGCCGGACTGGGCTTCTCCCTAACTTCTCTAAGGATGCTTCAAAAGTTTAAATAATTTTTTGGGTACCAAATATCCAATATTTGGAGAGTGATAGTATACATATTGAAAGTGACTTCTACCCTCAAGCAAAGCAAGTGTAGGACGAGTATTGTAGAATGTCTTCTTCCCTGACCCTCACAATCTTACAACACTAAGGCTGATTTCGTTTAGACATTTTTATTGTGTAAAGTAAATGGGGGGAGTGGGTACAAGTTTGGGAAGGTTTATATATGCAACTTTCCTCTGGGTTGTGAGATGTTGACCGCTCCTCAGTTACGAGGTTCGATTAGTCTGCTCGCCTACTCTCTGAGAGGAAAATTAAGACAATATGAGTATTACACAATCCTTCACTTCATATGGTCACTGAACTGTATGCGGGGAAAATATTACCACTTGGAAGGAAATCACTGCAATGCATTTCCTAGAATGCCCTCAAATACCAGTATAAATTGACTTTATGCAGTTCTGCTATGTTTTTTGAAATACATATTTTCTCGGGGATCCTTTAGTGTACATAACATGGACTTCGCTCAAGTAGTCTTGTTTTTGGTCACCCTTACTAGTTCATAGTTCAACTTCACATTAATAAAATCATATCCCAAATAGGTAAAGTTCAGCATAACTGCAGAAAAGACTAAGGCGTCACAGTGGTTTGACTTAATCCGAATTTCTAAGGTGATACGAACTCTGCTATTACACGAATAATCCATTGCAGCTGGCAGTATCAACAAAATCCCTAACTAAAGGGTTGATTTGCTTTTAGCTTTACATATTTAGTGTGATCTTGCGCCCAGCAAAAAGACAATTAACCGCTAAAGCATTAAAGGACTTAAAAGATTTGAAGGTATCCACTACGGACCTGTGCTCCTTACCCACATAATCGTACATAAACAGACAGTAAGCCTTGCATAACCTAGCAGCTGAAAAATTTAGGCTACATTTTAAGAGACATTAAAGCAATAACAGTCTGGCAAGATTGACTTGGTACATAATTTTTGATAGCTTTAACTCATCCCTCATGTCAAAAGGCTCAAAATTTAGGTCAGTTTTTCAGCACATGGCCACTAGTGCTAGCTGAAGTGCATGGTTTAACCTTGAGTAGTATGTAGCCAGCGAATACCCTTTGGTGCAGTTCGCGAGAGAGGTAGCATCGACATTAAGAGCAAATATCTTCATGCTATTCTGCAAAATCACTAAGCACCATTGCGGTCTATTGAGTGCTTTATAAGTTATCAACGATGTCGTGGTAGCCAAACAGGAGCAGTAATTTGGAGAAGCGTCGAGGACGGCACTAATAAGGAGGCGTACTATGTAGTATTCCGTTGCCTTGATCATTTATATGACTAGCTGCAGGAATTCCTTAATCTATAGCCAACAGCCTACTAACACTTTTGTGAATTAGAAATCCAGCTTTCTTACTGGTATGGTATAGTAAGATGTCAGGAGGAAATCCGAGTTAGGCTTGTTTTAAGTTAGTGTAACAAGCGTTTGTTTTAAGGTGCCTTTTAGGCAAGAGGCGGGCATTAAGGGCGTGTCTCGAGCTAGGTCGAACGACATCAGCTCTCGAAGAGGGAAAAGGTCAGGAATGCGCTTGACTTGCAAAATTTATACCTCTTTAAATCACTACTTAATAAAGCCTGTCCTCATCCAACTCATCTACTTAAGGGCACGAAGGTCATGGAGGAAGAGATAAGGGCAAAACCTATTGCACAATATCCACCATCATGAACCTAGTGTAATGCGTGTTTGATTTACCCGACTTTATAGAAAAAAATTTGATGACTGGAAGGGCTGGCTGGTGGTTGGTTCCTCACAGCACCAAATAAATTGTGATGGATGACGCGGGGGGTTGACCAAAGGGATGCCAGGGACGACGCTCAAAAGAGGAGAGGGGCTATGTAATGCGGTGGTTGTTTAACTCTCGGTTTTAGTGAAGAGCCACTTTCGAATTTATTATATTGCAACGTGGGTTGAGCTGGCCTTCGGAGCATGCCAGCAGCCCGAATGCCTTCTGTATGTCAAGCATGTATATCCTGACCGAATATTATGACTTCTTTCGCCTTCAGGGAAGTTTCAGGGAGCTGCGGCTTCAGCCCTACGGACTAAGCCTTGATAAGACACTTTGAAGTTTGTTAAATGGCTACAAATGTTAGAGCAAAGCATGTTCAAGATCTGTGAATACCGTTTGGATTTCACTCGCCATTTGAGTAATACTTAGTTTACTCAAGCAATTAAAATTGCCTTAATTAACAACTACTTAGTTTTTAAAATTAAATCATCAAACCAAAACCAGTATATCTTCACATTCTTAAAGTAGCAAGAAATGCAATTTTGATTTTGCCCTCTTTTTCTTGTATGTATTTATTATGCCATGCACACAGTAAATGTTTTAACTGCTTACACATTTTTTGGATATTTGCACTCTTTAGCTGCATCTGCATGATGAATTTTTATTCTCTAAGTAAATTAGTTGGCAAATGTATACTTTCCGGTGTTCATATGAACACATACTTCTCTTACGAACAATGACTTAAAATTCCCCAAAAATTAGCCATTGAGAACGAAGTTGTTTGGTGTATAATTTGGTTGCACATAAGTCAGAGTGTAAGGTGATGAGCCGGCAGGGATCTGTGTTGGAGGCGAGTTTACCTAATAATTTGGCACTTTGCTCTCGTGATAGTCGCGCCAGAGGTGTTTATATTAGTCATATGATTGCTTATCAGCCCTGAATATTTCTCTTTTTGCGGCACGTCGCTTCCTTTGATTCTGCTGGTGCTAATACGCCTTTTGTGGGACCTTTCTAGTCAGAATAATCTGCATTTTGTTAAACATAGTTTTGCTTGGCCTTTATCGGACATAAAAGTTTTTATTTTGAAGTGTTTTGTCTTCTTCAACTTGCTCCTATTTCCACATCTAAAGTTTGGTGTAAGAAAAGCAATTCTATTTGTAAAATATTTGGATTAAGGCGTCAATTGTGGAAATATACAATTACTGTATTATTGTGCACTTAATTCATAGACGCCAACATTTTTTACCTGATGGAAAGCCTCTAGAAACTGACCATTTCTAAGTGGATTATTTTTATTGCTTACTTTTGAAGCTGTTAGAACAAGCTTTCGCGGTATCAGACCAGAAGAGTTTTGAAGATGTGCTTTATGCAGCCGTCAAGTCGGCCGCCTACACTACCTGCCTTCCAAAAGTCGCCACCGCCGAGGACGCAGCTGTCTCTCTCAGCAGTCAGTCAATCAATGAGACTTCTAGCGAGGCGGAATTGGTGGAATACAACCACCTTTTAGAGTCCATCTTTGCTGATTTTGAGGCTTTTCTGGCCAACGCTTTTATTGCCAACTCCGGCGGAGACGTCAATGCCTCAGTCTCGGGATCTTTATCAGCGCCAAAACCGTCGACGAGCAGACATGATACTTTGGATCGACTTGCCGAGAGGCTTTCTGCTGTATGCCCCAAGGTGAGAACACCATGTGGTCGAATCTTTGAGGAACAGGAACCGACATTTCGCTGCAAGTAAGCCTTCCATTCCCTTACTGTTACCTTGTTGTTTACTCCTCAATAAGTGATTTCTTTCTTGGTGCTGGTAGTACCTTGCCAACTACCTCTACGCAATCATTAAATGTCTCTATAAAAGACCCGGCATCCTTTCACACGAAACGAATTCGTTTTTGCCTTTATCCGCATTATTCTGTCTAGGGATTGTTCAACAGATGCAACCTGTGCTTTCTGTCGCTCTTGCTTTTTCGCCAGTATTCACGCCAAGCATAGGTACAAGGTAGGTATTTTGCTTCACTTTCTTGCTCTTCTGTATCGCAATAACTTTCGTGGCATTTGCTATCTTTGTTTTTGTGGGTGTTTGCTTTATAAAATAATTTCCGTTTTTAACAAATGAGGTTATATAAATTCGCTTGATTTGACAGAAGACCAGTGAATGTTGTTTACGGCATAGGGTTCCATTTTATATGAAAAAGTGCGTTTTACTACACACGAGCTCCCGAGATCACCTAAATGTGTGCACTTTGAACTGACTTACTGGTTTGAAATTCCAATCACTGAATCACGTTCAAAATTCTTATCAAAGTATCAGTTTTACTATTAAAATAAGTCGCTTTTGTGTTTCCAACTTGACTGTTTGTTTTTTCTCGATGGTTAGTACTACCCAGCACATTTGACCAGTTCATATGGATCTCTCGTTTCAATTCATCTTCGATTGTTGGGATTATTTGAATGCGTTGCCTGGTGTGCTTGACTTCTTCCCGGAATTTTGCATTTCGGTCACGTGCATGCCTACCTGCTTGGTACGCCACGACATTAGTCTCTTAGGGTCGGATGTTAGAGTGCATCCTAGGAATGCGATTTATCCACACCGTTATTTTGTCTTTGGTTCCCATTTCTCCCGACCAAACGTGAGCTTATTTCAAAACTGCTTGTCGTACTTTTCAAAATCTTTTTACTGATGTTGATGCAACTAGAAATTGACGTTGATTGCACAAGTCCACATTTGATACCCTTGAATTCATCTTGTTGTATTTCTATCTTGTAAGTGCACACGCACACGTCCATTTTCATGCCTGTCAAAGTCGCAGTCATTATGTATAAAGAAGCGATAGACTTAGGATGGAAGTGCATAGGATTTCGCATACGTTTGCACACTTTATGTGTTCAATAAAATAATGCAACTGAAGGAATTTTTGGTGGTTCTCATTCCCTCCTTTGCACTATAGCTAAAATTAAGGACCACAGGGTCTCATTTTTATCTATAGTCTCAATGGCTTCGTTCTCGAAATAGTTCGATTTTGTTACAACTATGATCTCTTGTATGAATAATGTTGGCTGAGGCGTCTGAAGATGGATCTCGTATAAGTGGTTTTCCTTCCCACCACCATTCAGATGCATGCATCGGGTGGTGGCTACTGCGACTGTGGAGACGAAGAGGCGTGGACAAGTGGCGCCTGGTGTCGAATTCACTCGGGGGAAGGCGATGAGGCCTCTGCCTCGAACGTGAGTGTCTTACGCACTGTCGCCGATGAGCAAAGTTTCGAGATGAAGCGCGTGCAATCCGTTCTCTCCAAACTTCCCGAAGATCTAGTGCGCCGCTGTGACTACCTCCTTCAACCCCTCATTAACAGTGCTTCCCTTGTGCTCTTTCAGCTCCTTCAGGTGGGCCAGTATTTGCGATATAAGTCTATACTTTCTCATTGTGAGCTTTATTCCTAGGACTTCTTTCTCGTATATCTCGGTAGGGCTCAGCTCGTACTGATTGTTTGCCATTAAGTACTGTCCCCAGTGACACGAAAGAGGTGGAGCAGGAATTTGATAAACCTAGTGAGGATAACAATTGGCCACCTGGTTTGAATCATCTTTCCAATACCGCCATCGAATGGGACGCCACTCAATTAGGCCTGCGTAGCTTTCCCCGCACGTGTCCCCGAGTCTGCGATGCTCACAGCATGGAGCAAAGGTGTTTGGATCAGCTCGCTAGAGCTCACAGCCTCCATCCTGCTCTGTTTGACATTACTGCCTCCTCTGCCGCCGAATCTGCCTCTTCGGTCTCGAGCAAGCAGTACATTGTAGTGCTTTACAACAATGAATTTCACAACTATGAGGATGTGAGTCATTTGGTAGACCTGAGACACCGCTTTAAGAACGTTAAATCAAAACTCCTTCCCTTGTAAACTCCTAGGTCATCAGGATTGTCCGACGTGTGGATGGCTGTACCTCAAAGCAGGCCACTCTCTTTGCCATCATTGTTAATCGTGACGGTAGAACATCGCTCCTCACCAACCTCACGCTCCAGGCCGCAGCTCAGAAGGCCGCAAGAGTTTCGGTGAGTTCTTACAAACCTAGTTAATGGTAAAATTCCCGTCATCTGTTTTGTTTTTAATCTTTTAATCACTGGGTGAAATTTCTCGCCCCTTTTAAACTAGTTTGTGAATCAGTGGGAGACTTAACCCTAAGCATGTGATTTCTTTCTCTGAGAATCTCAGTATATTATAAATTACGTATGTATGGTTCCAATGTCACTGGTGCGGTAACGTTGTAAGACATTGCTTCATGTGCAGTCGGGGCATCGAGATACATTTTAGAGGGCAGTTACTAGATGTTCTAAGCGGTTTACCCGAACGCATTTCAGCAATCTCCGGGGTCACGCCACCTGGTACGTCCTCTGCGTGCGGCCGTAATGGAGCAGGGCGTGTACGCGATGGAGAACTTCTTTGTATCTGTCCTACGCTGGCTTGAGCGGCTGGCTATCCGCGTGCTGCCACTGCGCCCCCTCGTCTGCAATGCTCTCCTCGGTCGCTTCTTAACCAGTACGGAAGCCTCGCGTTCTGCTTCCTTCATCCTCCCACCCTCTGAAATGATGCTGCCGAACAGCCTCCTCTGGCACATCTTCCATCGGCTAACTCTCTCTTATCGAGGTAAAATCATCCCGCTGCAACTTCAAGCATAATTTTGTTATCAGTTCAGAAGATGATGTTAGTCACTGGCATTTTGGACTACAAGCTGTTTGATTTATCTGATGATACTATCGAGTGTTTTTGTGGGAGCCGATTGAGCTTAAATATTTTCGTGGGGCTGCAGAACCATTTTAATACCAGTGTGTGTGACTCGCATGTAATCATTCAACAGCGTTTATACACACATCCAGTAAAATAAATATGTCGAAATCTGTGGTCAATGTCATTCAAGTCTGGGTTCGTAACTACCTACTTTTGTCCTGTCTTTTACGGACACTCAGGGCGTTTCATATTTCATTCCGGTTACATCAAAGCGCTACCTTGCATCACCTGCCAGTAGCTTTTCGCTCAAGCTTATAACAATCTAATGTTAACAGCCTTCTTGTGGATCCTCGAGTCATTGTCCCCGCTTACTTGATTGCCTTCTCTTACTCCTCAAGGTGTTCGAAAGACGGCGTCTCGACTGATCGCCAGTGTCTTGCTGCAAGAGCCCTATCACCGACGCATCTTTGCGATTGAATTTACTCGAGTGAGTCCTTGGGAAGGGAAAGTCGGAAGAAGGTAGTGCGATTTCACTTTCACTTACAGTCTTTATCCACTTACTTCAGCTATATGATGTCATTTCACAAGCCTATGCCTACGATGATCATCTGAAGGCAGATACTCTTCTCAATATGACATGCCAATTCTACACTGTCACTAGTCTGGTAAGTGCTGGCTTCGCTTTGCATGAATATACGTGGAATATTCAAGTCAAAGTGATAATTTA